AGAGGTCTTTTGCAACCGAGCGATTCTGTGACACAGAATTAGAGATGCTGGCAAAATATCTGAAATGTCTGCACAAGGTGAAATGTTTATTTAAGCATGAGAGGCTTTGGCTTAAATGCTCAACTTGCACTTTTGTTTATATGAATGAAAGGAAAGCAAATATGAGGGATAAGTGGTAAATGCTGCCCAATAGGACCACAAGCCAATTCTGCAAATGTTACACTTCCAAGATGGTGATAAACTCTGTACTGATGTTATAGCCACAAGAGCTAAAGCTCTGTGAATGATAAAATACCGTACTGATACACCATTTCAATCATAAATACCACCACAGTGACCAAAGTAATTAGAAAAGGGTTACTTCTCTTTATGCGAATGTCTATTTGAAACAGTAAATCACATTTAATTCAGAAAACAATTTTAAGATAGAAAGCTTGAAAGACAGACACCACAACTAAGGGAGTCTCAGAAGTCTCCATCATGGTGCCTACAAATACCCTGTTGTAGCAAGGAGCTGATTAAGCACCAGATTTCCATTTGAACAGTGAAAGCTGTAGTGAGTTTTCTAACACACTGGAGCAGGAGCAAATATTTTTACATTTATGTTTCCCACTGGGTAAAATATAAAACCCTTGGCACCGTGCCTGAAGCCAATCACAGTGAGGTAGAATGTGGTAAAGGAGGACTGACAGCTATCTGTCTATCTATTTATTTATAAGCCTATTTAAGCCTTCATTTCTTTCTCTGGCTACAAGACTCAAACTCAATCAAATAAGCTCCTTTGTTCTAATTCAGGGCGTCTTTTGAACTGACTATGCCTTTAAACGTCAGAAGTTGCTTTAAGTACTATGCAAAAGTGAAGTAGAGGTTTTTGTATTAGTTAACCCATTGGTGAGTATGGCAGAACAAAGAAAATTACACTAAATCAAACTTTTGCCTACTGCAGTGTTCAGATATATTCTTAGACTTCCCAAAACACAATATATCTCCCACTTCTCTCTGAACACCGAGTATCATCACTGCCAGACCTCCTCTAGTGCTGCCTGGCGCAAGGAAATATAATTCTGTCACCTTTGACTAATGCTCAGGTCACTACTGTGCTTTCTGGCTCAGTCCTCTGAAACCACATTCTTTTTAGGTGTGAAAGTTGCTCAAATTAATTAATCCCCAGTTGCACATATCATAAATAATATAGAATGATATAATAATATAGAGAATATAAAAGAATGAGACTATAGGTTATTAGACTGAAAACATAACTGGAAGAAGGGACCTTGTTACCAAGTACAAGGACTTAAAACTCCTAGAGAGTATATTATTGTTAATTATGTCAGTTTTACAATCATAAGGAAAAGCAATTACTTTTCTTAAGTACAAGGTAATTCCTGAAGTGCAGTATCAACCTTCACAACCCAGAAAAATTGTGCATTTTTATTAAATCTTTTCCTCCATCACTTGAAGTGTTCATACTGTCAAGATTTTCCCAACATGCAACTAAATTATGTCTCTCATTGTCAACTACTGATTTAGTATCTAACATCTTAATACCCGTGTTTCAATCTCTATTAGTGTTCACTCTCTCCAAGTATTTACAAAAAAGGGCATAGGCATATGGCTCAAATTCTTTAGTTTCTCAAGTCTGCTTCTCCTGCCACATCTTCTTGTACTTTGTGTAAGGTCCTTCTATAAGGGAAGATCTTGTTAGCTCCCATGTTGTCCTGTCAGCTTACTATGATCTGCTTTTTACAATTCACAGAATGGTTGAGGTGGGAAGGGACCTCTGGAGGCCATCTGATCCAACCCTCCTGCTCAAGCAGGGCCACGAACCCAGTTGGCTTTTGAATATCTCAAAAGATGGAGACTCCACAGCCTCTCTGGACAGCCTGTGCCAGTGCTTGGTCACCCTCATAGTAAGAAAGTGTTTCCTCATGTTCAGATGGCAATTCAGATGATGTTCATTTGTGCCCACTGCTCTGGTCCTGTCACTGGGCACCACTGAGAAGAGCCTGGCTCCGTCGTCTTTGCACCCTCCCTTCAGGTATTTATCTATTTATACACATTGGCTTAGAATTACATTTTAGGTTCTTTTACTGTTTTTAAATCATGTGACCTACTCCTTTTCAAAAACCCCCTCAATGCTATGATACTACTTAAGAGTACCTCTAACTTTTGGCTTTAAATATCGTTACATTTCAACTTCTGCTGTCACCAGCATCTCATACTTCGTAAACACGGCTGCTTACCTCATGCTCTGGCGAGAGGTGTTCCATGTCAGTTCGTAAACACTTCAGTCCTGGTAAAAAGTGATTAACCATTAAATCCTCTGAAATAACTAAAACCCATGTTGTTAAGGTATTATAAGGACTGTCTTCGGAAATGATATAATTTTATTCTACTGAACACTGGGAAAAGCTATAGCAGCAAAACCCAAGAAAACAGAACAGCATGTGCCACTTAAGGACTAATAAAAAAGGAGGTGTCTTAAACATATTTACCTTCATGTATTTCATACATCCATACCATTATTTTCATATTTTATGTTTTTTTTTCTTTTTAAGTTAGTGATTAAGATCAAGGGGTTTGGTTTTGTGGTGGTTGGGGTTTTTTTTTGTTTGGCTTGTTTTTTATCAGTTCCCTTATGTGAAAAGCTATTCTTTATACTAAGCAGATCCTATTTTACATCACACATTCAGAGACAAACTTAGTTATTTCTCACTTATTAAATTTCGCCCCCCATCGGAGAATCAACAGCTAAACTTCCCATAAAAAAAAGGATACAACAACAGGAAAGAGCACTGTAGGCTTCAAACAGGTGTGTAGCGATATCCAGCCTCTTAGAGTCCACAGACTGCTGGTTGTTGACCAAGGCTAACTTGTGCAAGTGTGGAATAACAACTGTAAAAGTAAATAAATACTGGCATAAGTATTTGAAATTGCTTTCTGTAGACTTGTTTAGCATTAAACAGTTGCCAAGTGGCAACTGCAGGCATCTGAAGCATCTGATCAGTCACCTCCAGCTCTGAAATCATTCATCACTATGTGCTGGTGTTCTATATATACAATGTTAGGTAACGTGGAAGTTATATCAGCAAAGTCTTAAACACTGGGACATATCAAACTCTGAGAAAAAGAGTATTCATCAAACTTTTTGTAAAGACAAGGGAAAAAAATCAATATAAACAACATATTAATTTTGGGACAGAAAGAGGAAGACTGGGAGGATCTTCCCATTGATGCAACTTACATTCATCTCTAAATCTGGGCTCAGCATTAGGTCCAACTCTTCCGAATGTTTTTATGATTTCTGTATGTAAAGAATGTTGGTCTTGATATTGAGGGTCCTCCAGGAAAGATGCCAGCTGCATTTTTACTCTTTCCAGAAGCTTAAAAATTCCCAGAGAAATAAAAAGTACACAAAAGAATGAAGATGCTAGAAACAGTTATGGTCAATACAGGGTATGTCCATAATCTTCTGTATTTCAGATTATAAACCTTGGACCTTCTGTTAATTTCCATTTTTTTCTGACAGGATGTTCCAAACTCTTTGATGCAGCTCTACATTTTAAAGACTGTTAAGTGTTTTAATCTGATCTGTCTTTATAGGCATGTGCATATAGAGCCAGTGTTTCCTCCTGAGGTTTTCTTAGTTTTGATACTCACATTTTCTACCTGCTATTAAAATTTCCCTCTTACTATTAATCCCTTTGGAGCTTTCCTGTTTAAGATCTGAATTCACATTATGTTTTCAGTAACATAATCTCAATTAGTATGCTGAAAAATTTTATGTAGAAGACTGATGCAAAAGTAAACATCACAAAATCAGAGTAAAATTTCTTCAACTAAAGGCTAAAAAAACCCTGAAAGCACAAATATTTAATTTTCATCCAGAGTTGTTAAAATAATATTTTCTGATACATTTTGGAAGGTGATATCACCTCTGTACTCTAAGGCTTATTATAACTAGTGCAACGGATACAACAATTTGTGTGTGGTAACAAACCAGCGTTCTTCCCAAACTGATTACAGGCATGCATTCCAAGCTACAAAATTGTAACATCCATCTTCCAAGTACTTGTGAGTCATCGCTGACTTCTTACTCACATTTCCTCAAACACATTCTTTTAGAATATGTTGAAATTTACAGGAAGAATGCAAGCTCTGCAAGAAGTTTTGAGGACTTTAAGAAGAAATGTCATTGTACAGTTATTACATAAAACAAAGTACTGTATTTCTACTGCTTACAGCAGAATCTTGCGTGTCTTTTTCAGAATTCTGATCTATTACCAAAGTTTCATAATTTAAAAAACAAGGAGGAATTGCAGATCTATATTACCCTCAAGGATCACTTCAGTTATACCACTATGATGTCTTTTAATGCCATCTTGGCAGATATGACAGGAACTGCAAGAGACTTGTGCCCTTCTAAAGTGGCTGGAAGCCAAGCATCTAAAACGGCACTATATACTTATGTGGAGATAACTGAATCTCATCATGACTTTCTGGTTAGTATTTTAAAGTAAAGCTATTTTATTTGGAAATAATGGACTCGGATTTCTCAATTGTGTTGGAAAATGTTTTAAAAACCACTTCGAGCATGGGATTTCCCATCTTCTAGCACAGGCCTCTCCCTCCACATATCTGTTTTTCTTTGTTTATGATTAGTTTGATATTTAGAAGGAAATGTTTTTATTAGTTAAAAGACAGTTGGTTTCCAAGATAAAGAAAAAATCATTGCGAAATTGGAAGGCATTTTGGAAGAGGACATAACAAAGCAAGAAATAATTTATAAGCTCCTTTTCCCCCTCCAAGTTCATTAATAAATTACTGGATTTCTGGATTTGTCAAAAAATTACCCACTTCTTATGCTACAGAAACAACAGCCTGAGAACAGGTATCTTACCTCTCTCTGAGTAACGGTTTCCATGATGGTCCCAAAAGCAGGAATTGTTGCAATTCTCACTGAACTACAACAGAAAAAAAAAAAGTGTCTTTAAAATGCATTAAACTTGAAGAATAAAATCAATTAAAAACAAAGCAAAATTTAAAAATTAGTACTTCAAGTTACATTAGTTTCTAGCAATGACAAAACAAAAAAAGCAGACCAGGAAAAAGACAGACAGGATTAACTCAAGGTCTCAATCTGAAACTCACAATTCAGGATCACTGGACAAGGTAACAAGGGCCGGAGCAACCCGCTTGTCAACTAAGGCTTCACTCATGCCTCGAAGAGTCAGCTGTAAACCAGTCAACATGCAATAAAAAATGGTTTGGTAAACTTGAAGAACTGGGTTAGCTGTGACTGAGGATGGGCAGGCAGACTCTTGGGGTTTCTCTTGCTTTAGTCACCCACACAAGACATTAAAACGATTAAGACTCTATTCATGCTCTAGCATTATTAGTAACAACCTGCTAGTGAGATTAGCAAAGCATCCCTCCTTAGCTTGGAAGAAATATCACATCAGAGTGTCCAGCAAATTAAGTACTACGGTGTCTATCAGAATTTAGATGAGCCAAAACTACTTTGCATTTCAGTAATGCATTTAATTTTACAGTAGTAAAGCTGATAGAATTACAGAACATATAAATATCCAGCTTTCTGCTAGAAATGATGTTAGTAAATTTCAAAACTGAGAATATGATTCAATATTTTAAAAAACTTACAAAAAATAAGTGACATTGATTTAAGTTTTCTATTCAAAGTTTATTCAGCTATTTTACTCAGTTTAGTTCTAGGTGTTGCAGTAAACTTTATGTTTACAAATAAGTGATTTGAAAGTTTTATTTATTTAAGAGTAATTCAATTTTTGTTCAGCTAGAACAGAAATAGAACTGACGGTTATTTCTTACCAAGGTTTAAGAGGGATGCTAGGTATATAAGACAGTCAGGAAACTTACATTTCAGGGTCACTGGAGAGAGTAATGAGAGCAGGAACAACTCTCTGAGCTACCAGAGTTTCATGTACCCCCTTCACCAACAGCTGAATGGTCGGAGCAGGGGGGTATCACAGGTGATGCACGGAAAGAGCGAGCACAGTATCATGGGAAGAAGAACGGCACAACCAAGAGAGAGAGAAAGAAAAAACACAAAAAGCAAACCAAAATTAGAAGCTAAGCAAATTCTGCTACACTAGTGCTTCATATATGCAAAGGCATGAAGAAAGCTGAAGTGGTCTGGCAATCAGCACAAATCTGACAAATTCAACAATGTGATGACATTTGCTCAATTTTCAGCTATTTTAAAACTTGAACTCAAAAGTTTAGCAAGTAATTATGTATTAGAATTCAAATACTAATATAATTATGTATTATAATTATACACATAATGATGTATAATTAAATACTAAAACTATGCCAACTTGAGTTTGTAAGTTTAATCTAAATGCTGTGCTAGCTCAGTGGGATGGTATTTCTTATAGTAGGTGGCTGTCACATGCAAAATAGATGTCTTTAGCTAGGCCAAACACATACAGCTTTCCCACACTGAGTGATACCTTTTGGACCTTTTACAATGTGACAGACAGCACCTTCCCAAATGCCCCTAAGCTTTCCTCAACGTTATTCTGGAGTACTTTAGATTTAACTCCCATAGGAGCAGTCTGTATATGAAGTTTCCTAAGTTTCCCTTGCTAGTCTATGCAGGAAGAAAACCTTGGATTATCCATGGAATGCATTTCACCAAGTCTTCTTGCAAAGGAAAGGAGGTATTTGTTGCAATACATCCCAAATGTGTATGTAGAAATGGTTTGAAATTAGATGCTCCCAGGTGACTTTTTTTCCCATTACTTATGTAGCTATATATAAGCATACATTTGCTGCATATGTAGTATATGCCCTTTAGATGTTTTCTACATATGAAAACCTACACATTTTCAGAAATGCAAGTTCCAAACTTTCTCCATATTTAAAAAAAAAACACCTTGTTTTGCTGGTCTGCATTAATAAAAGAGAAAGCCTTGAGATTTCCATTTTATATCTTGTGTAAGGAAGTCTGCACATAATTGCTGGTTTTAGGAGATAAACATAAAAAGCTTATCAGTAGTTTCTGTGAGAAATTTGAAATGTCTTAATATTTAACAATATTCCAATTACACAAATTGTACCACAAACACAAGTTAAATGCTAGTGCTTTTTCCCCCAGCCACGTAACAGGAGAACACATAAGATACACAGGGTGTGGGAAAAGCAATAGCTGTGAGTATATCACACAGTACTAAAAGCTGGCAATATTTACACCCTTTAACTAGAGAAAGTTTCACATTCTGCTATTTGTTTGAGCATTTTTTTTTTTCTGAATTTAAACCAAAGTAAATTGTGAAAGATCAGAAGAAACCTGACTTTTCAGAAGCCATCTATACAGAGCAGTAATTTTATTAGGCAATATTTGTGTGTGCATGCACGGGTGCACACATGCACTGAACACATTGTGGCCTTACGGATCATAACTGCAGAAGGAAGAATGGGGAGAGACTTGCTTTGCTGTATAAGAACATATGCAATACTGCAGCAAAGCACCTGGAGGGGGAAAGCTGCAACTTTCTATACTTGTTATCCAGCAAGTATTAGGAATGTCAGTTCAACTACTGCATTTTAACATTAACACATTTCATAATTATTTACAGTGGCAACAACTTAAAGTGCTGATGTGTTGATATTAGGGGCTACTCATCCAACAGCTGTTAAGGACACAGCTCAGTGTTTGACTACAATGATCTTACTCTCCTACACAGATTTACCAATTTTCCCATTGATCAAAATAGAGAAAGCTTACTGTTTCCTATTTTAAAAAAATAGGCACTTGTGTTTTACTGACCTTAATTTTAAGAAAAGCCTAGAGGTAATGTACTGCTTACAAAAAAAAAGGCTTGGGATTTGTATAATTAGCAAACAACTTAGAATTATTTCAGCTTCATGACTATGTCAGCTGCCACACTTCTAATTACAGTAAAGCATGGTAAACAGCATTGTTGTCTTACAGAAGAACTCTTTACAAGTTCTCTTTACAAGTCAAGTGTCATTCTGAAGATGTGTTTCTAGCCTTGAACCTAAGCTGACCAGCAAAGCTTATAACTCAACTATGTGCTTCATGTTCAAACCAGCAGCAATCAAATCCATTTGCATCAACATTCAATACGAAACTACTGACTGAAAACACTAACACAGAAGCAACAGAAACAGCTGGATGGGCAAAGCCATGGAGCAGCGTGTAAGGTAACAGTGAAACAGACAACACAAATTTTTATCCTGGTTTGATTCCTCTAGATCACTGTGTGATCACTACGTATGCATACTACACCTTAAAAATGGTAGCACAAAGCTTCCTGCCCTCGAAGGGGAGAAGGGGTGGAATGGCTCCAAATCAGCACGGCAGTCTCTGTGCTGCTGTACAGAGCACTGTGCTGCTCAGAACCTTTACAGTTCTCATAGCTGTCCTGCAGGTGACACACTATCTTATTATCGAATCGCTGAGCTTTGCCATCCAGCAGCCTCCGAGATGTCAGAAATTCCTTGAATGAAGGAATCTTCCAACAGTAAAACTAACTATTGCCATCTCTTTACAAAGGTGACTTTTATTTTTACAAATATAAAATATACGCAACGTTCTGGTTAGATTTAAAAAAATCAAAACAAAACAGCAACTCAAAAATATTGTAAGGGTGACCAAAATTTGCCACCTCCTTTTTAAAGGGAGAGGGGAAAAAAGAAGAGAAAAAAAAGGGCGAGGTTGGATGTTTTCAACTGAACTCTCAGGATGTGTCTTAAAGTGCTTGTTTAGTGGTTTATCTGCAAGGACTCACAGAATTGCAGTCAAGAACACTAAAGGAGACTTATTCTTGCAAATGGATACTAGGTGGCAGAAGTGGACTGTGATTGATAGTGTGGTTACATAGAAATGTATCTTTTCAACATGAAAAAAATAAGGGTAATCTCTTTGTTCAGCATGTGGAGTATGCCCCAGATTTTTTGTACTCGCCTATTTTAATTAACACTTGATGAAACAAAGGCATGATGTAGAAATAAAAGCAAACTTACTAGTTAAATGTAACAGTTTTCCTGAACAAATTTATAGATGTTAAGGGAAAGATGAAACTGTCACTATGTGGCAAGTGAAGTAATTGTAAATTATTTTAATTTTTTTACAAAAAATACGTAATTTGTTAAATGAACATTTTTACGACCATATTTGGCACCAATAGAAACTAGTCTGAATTACAATGCAATGTAGTGTACAAGTACACACAAAACACATTGAAAACTGCTAACTTGTGAATTAGGCTACTGGTGATGCATTGAATAGCAAAAGTAAATGTTAAAACTCAGAAAATGCTTGTTTGTGTTTATCTACAGACCTAAGCAAAGACATTTGACAACATATTTAATTCTGGTCTGAACACAGGTTTGCAATGACGTGCATTTTCGTAATTGGAAAATGTTTTCCAGCATGCAGTAATCGGAATGCAACAATCGAGCAGCAGATCGGAGAACACAGACACAGCTACTTGCAAGAAACATTTGCAAGTGGCTAATGACAAACTGCTTAATGAGAGATGCGCTGCTGAACAGAGAACAGATACAGAAACAACTGCACAACAACTTCCTGCTCCATCACACAGTACACAACTTATTTAAGCCATTTGTCATTTTTTAAGAATGCAGCAACATTATCTGAATCAGTGCTTTTAGAAATACATTCTAGTTTTAAAAAGGTGTAAAAAAGGGTTTGAACAACACTTACCTCAAACATTCTAGCAGCTGTACATCGAACAAGAGCAGAAGTATGGACAACTCCATACCATAAGACAGTTAACAGCAGCTCATGATAAGCTGGGTTCGCACTAAAAGAAAGCAGTTGAACAATCAAAAAAACCAAACCAAATAAAACCAAAACCCACAAAAAACCCCAACCAACCAACCAACCAACAAAAAACCCCCACAACAAACCAAAAACTTCCCAAATCCTGAATAGATTCTTTGCCTACAAAATGTAGTCTCAAGAATCCATTGCTCAGCAATTCTAAAACTCCAACATTTACTCTTTCTGAAGGATACATAACACGTATTTAATTCTAAAAGACTTGTAAGATGTTGCTGTCTAGAAAACAGGTTGCATTTTGAAGTTCACTTTAAAAAACCCCCACAACTTTAAAAATATAATTTTCAATGAATTATGGCACTGAACTGAATTCAAATATGTATCTAGAAAACACCATAATAATAAGGAAAACAGAAAATCACTTTCCATTTTATTCTCAATGACTGATTCTTGTGGACTTTTTTGGTTTGGTTTTGGTGTTTGTTTTTTATTTACTTTTTAATCGCTACATTTTTAATTTAGAGATAAAAAATTCAAACTTTGTGAAACACCAAGGGAAAAATCAAGTATACGCTTTGTTCACTTGAAGCATCACAGTTACAAAAATTACAGCCAAATTAGCAGCTTTTAATAAAAACTTCTAATGTATTTAGATCTAGTCAACTCCAAGGTATATTCCTTACCCCAGTTCCACAAAGGAAGCTTTCAGGCTATCAAGAGGAGCATGGGATAGCGAAAGCATGGTCATTACATCTTCTAAGAATCCAACTAACAGCTTGCGGTCTTCTTCCTGAAAGAAGAGTGCACAAGGTTGAATGCAGTGGAAGTTGCTGCGGTTGAGATGACCTACAGCTACAGAAGAGAAACTATGAATGAAAACAAACTAGATTTAGCCTTTAACAATCTCCTTACCAACTTCAGAAATGTTCAAAGCAAACACAAGACTGTATTTCATCAACTAAGCACATACTCACACATGAATTAACCAATCATTTTTACTGAAGACACTTTTAAGAAGAGTACTTAAATACTTTCATGGCTCCTGAGATTTTGTGATGGGTCACAGTCTACTAAACATTTGTGAGATGAAGTATTTGTTCTTTCCTGAAAACTACGTATACATCAGTCCATAAATGCTGGTTACTGAAGGATTAGGTAGTATTACTTATGTAGTATTACTTATGAAATGTTTATTTTAGGTCTAGGTAACATTAACATTTTAAGACTCCAATTATGCCCAAAATGGTAATCTACCTGCTTACCTGTTTCAGTAAGTTTTGAAAATTATGTTTGCAGACGTCACAGCTAAATGGCCAAGAAGACATTTATGGAGTAATGTGAATATTTTTGATAAAGGCACGTAACAGCTGTCAGTGTCTGAGAGTCAGCAGTGGTGAAGATGCCAGATGCCATTTTAAGATTTACTGAATCCAGGTTTTAACACTGATGACTGCCATCTAAATGTAGTAGACAACCTAACTAGAAAACTTTGCTTCTAAAAAGTATTTAAAAAGTATTTACAGCTGCCCATGTATCTACTTATCTTCATAGCACAAGAGCACTGTGAGTTTACAAATAAGACAGTAAGGGGGTTTTGTACAATAAGTTTTAGGTATTATTATACATTTAACAAAAAACCCAGAAAAACAAACTTACCTGAATATAACACGTAAGGACCCCTGTTGCATAGATGGGAACTGTGGCTTTCGTTAGCACTCCGTTACCTGCTGTGGAATCTAATGAAACACAGTGAAGAACTTAGGTATAATAAATACATATATATATATATACACATATATGTACTATATATGTAGTATATCTATTACATATACATGTATAATTTCATATAATATATATTACATACACGTATAATTTTATATATGTGTATACATAAATAAAATATTTAGATTAAGATTAGATTTCCAACATTTCAGAAAGATTACAAATTCAAGAACTGCAGTCTGAAAATGTTATTTGAACTAGAGATGGACTTTTTTTCCCCCCAGCTGCAGTTAAGATCAAGTTTTATTCATTTAATTAAAAAGCTACTTACCTATATTTTCCTCAGACAGTCTTAAGATTTCCTGAAACTGTGGTTTTACCTATACAAAGGATGATGAATCACATGTAAGAAAACCTGTGACCAGTGCCAATTAACTTAGGAAAAAATTAGGAATAAAAAAATACCCAAGCAAACAGAAAAATGACATTTTGAAGGTACAGAAAGAAAAAAACCCCTTTAAAAAGCATAGCCAGCTTCTACAAAAACTGAAAGTATGATATAAGAGAGTAAAAATTTCTACCGAGTACCCACACTGAGGTAGCAGTATTTAGCACTCCCAATACCAAAAGCTGAAGTCTTTTGGCAATGCTTAGTTGGGCTCTAGAGTTCACAGTTTTACCAAGCTGTATGTTAATAAAAAAATAAAAGTTTTGGTTTAGATCTTCGCTGTCCATGAAGTGCTCTCTTCCAAAACATAGCTGTGATAATCAGTATCAGAACAATTTTATAGAATCAAAGATTCTAAAGATAACTTCCAGAAGGGGCTTTCAAAGACCAGAGACTGGTTTTTATCTCCTCTATGGAGGCAGCACATAATGCTAATGCTGTTTTGTAATCTTTTGGCAATCCTCTCATGTTTTATAATTTGCCTTTAAAATATTTTTAACTATATTCAGAAGTTATATTATTGAGAAAAAAATATGTATTTCCTCGATAGAAATGTTTATATATCACCTGTAGAAAGTGTTTCAAGCAGAAAAAGCAGGAATTTAAAATTTCCGATCAATTACAGGCTGGAGTACTTATGTGCACCCCATTGAACAGTATGCTCTTCTGAAGAGAGAAAATAATTAGAATTAAGGTGGTATCTCTCACTCTCTATGCCATTCACAAAGCAAATATGAAGAATAGAGTATAAAAAAAAAGAACCCATGCTTGTTGGGCAAGATGAGAAGGCCATAACAAAATAATCAAAAACAGAAATCAAAAGGATGCAAAGAGAGGCTTAAAAAGAACAGGTTTAAATGCACTTATGGGAAAGTATCAGCGTGACATGTAAATACTAATGGTCATATAAAGTCCAGGTATACAGACACACCATAAATATGGAGAATATATATAATAAAGGTACTTTTTTGTAGAATACTTAAGGCAGTAATCTTACCTTAGTGTTTGTAAAAATTTTCCCAAATGTCCTACAAAGTCTCCAGAAAAATCTAGAGAACTCATGGACACAGGCAGTTGATGCTACATTGATCTTGCCAACTATTTCTATAAGCTGTGGTAGCCTAAAAATCAGGAAACAGAAGGATATTAAACACTACTCTGATCTTTCTTGTCAGTTATATTTTTATAGATTTAGTGCTTATCTTAATAAATATACATCCACACACAGAAAATACTGTTCTAATAAAATTATCTACATGTTCTACACAACCCTGATCCCTGAAGAAAGCAAGGTTTTAAGTGCTAGAAAAGTGTGACCTATATTTTCAAGCATCTGTTACTCAAGAACAGTGTATTTCATGAGATATTCAGAATATAACGATCTTCAACAGAGAACTGACTATACCAGTGTAAAGATGAAAGAAACAGCTTTCTGGAGGAAGTAGTTACCTACACATTCTGCTAGGTTGTTTATATCTTCTGAATAAAATCAAAGTCAATTCATTATGAAAATTAAGACACCTAAAAAAGTTTCAATCATTCCCTTTTTAACAATTCTTAAACACAATCATACTCAAAATTCTTATGTTTAATATCTGCTAAACGTAATCAAGCTTAAGAACTATTAATTTTGACACATTTTAAAATTAGGAATCACAAGACACAAATTAACTCACAATTGATTGACTACCCATAGCAAAGTCTCCCAGCCTGTGGTACCCTCATGTTCTAGCTGATAGTCATACAGTTGCAACAACACTGCTAATTGCTCGCGGCTCCCAATGATGATGGCCACATCCTGAAGAGGCGATACCGGTCGGGGAAACCTAGTGACTGTAACAAGAGAACAAGCACTCATGAACAAAAGATGATGAAAATACTTTGAAGGCAACGTCAGTAAAAACAGCTAAGAAAATCTGAAACCCTCTAGTGCCTTCTGTGTAAGGTTATCAAATTGCTTTTTCAAAGTCAGCAAGTTAAATTCAACCCTCACTTAAAAAAGAGAAATGTTGGTACAGGGAGATGATGGAATTATTATCGCCAGCCTTCTTGCCTGACCAACCTAGTGGTCTTCTGTGATAAAGTGACCACATCGGTGGAAAAGGGAAGAGCTAGACATGTCATCTATCTGGACAGTTCTCCACAACATCCTTCTCTCCAAATTACAGAGATGGACTATTTGGTGGATAAGGAATTGACTAGATCATCACATCCAGAGCATAGTGGTCAATGGCTCAACATCCAGATGGAGATCAGTGACAAGTGGTGTCCCTCAGAGGTCTGTGCTGGGACCAGTACTGTTTAATATCTTCATCAATAACATGGACAGTTAAGTGCACCCTCAGTAAATTTGCAGATGACACTAAGCTGAGTGGTGCAGTTGACATGCCTGAGGGATGGAATGCCATTCAGAGGGACCTGGACAAGCCTGAGAAGAGGGCCCAAGTGAACTTCAGGAGGTTCAGCAATGCCAACTGCAAGGTCCTACACCTGTGTCAGGGCCACCTTCTGTATCAATGCAGGCTGGAGATGAATGGATTGAGAGCAGCTCTGAGAAGGACTTGGGGTGGTGGATGGAAAAACAGGACATAAGCCAGCAATGTGTGCTCATAGCCCAGAAAGTCAATCATCCTGGGCTGCAGCAAAAGAAGCATGGCCAACAAGTTGAGAGACACAGTTCTGCCCCTCTGCTCAGCTCTGGCGAGACCCCACATGGAGTACTGAGTCCAGTTCTGGAGCCCTCAGAACAAGACACGGACCTGTCTGAATGGGTTCAGATGAGAGCCACAAAAATGATCAGCGGGATGGAACAATTCTGTTGAGGACAGGCCAAGAGAGCTGGGGTGGTTTAGCCTGGAGAAGAGTAGGCTTTGGGGAGGCTTTATTGTGGTTTTTCAATACTTAAAGGAGGCTTATTAAGAAACCTGTGGACAGACTTTTTAGTAGGGTCTATTGCAATAAGACAAGCAGTAATGGTTTTAAACTGAAAGAGGGTAGATTCAGATTAGATATAAGGAAAAATTTTTTTACGATGAGGGTGGTGAAACACTGGAACAGGTTGCCCAGAGAGGTGGTAGAAGCCACATCCCTGGAAACATTCACAGCCAGGCTGGACAGGGCTCTGAGCATCCTGATCGAGCTGAAGATGTCCCTGCTCATTGCAGGGGGGTTGGACTAGGTGACCTTTACAGGTCACTTCCAACCCAAACCACTCTGTGATTCTATAATACCAAAGAACACACCACAGATTTACAATAGAGTGGCTTGCGGGCAAGGTTTCCTGACCTCTATTGCTACAATTTCATGTTCTAACTGCTCCTACTTTTATATATGAAGTAATTTTTGACACTCCTCACTCCCTCCCCCAACTCCTTAATTACTTGAATTATCAGAAGAGAATAATTTACATGCAAGAAGTCCTGAAAAAATTCTAGACCATTAAAATATCTGGTGTGTGAAAGCCTGCTACACAAACATTGCTTTTAGCATTCTCAATTCATGTCAAGTGTACTTAAATTATTCAGCCACGGAGTTAAGCAACATGAATATCATCTTTCCTACTGCAAAATTCAAGAAAGCAAGCTTGCAGTTACTGCAGTGTTACTGGATTCGTGAGAAGTAATGAGATTCTTTCCTCTGCTTTTGGGGAGGAAAAAACTGTCAGAACAGGCAGAAGCCTGAAATTTTTGAATTCCTTATTCAAGTAGTAGCTGCTCAAGGAAAAAAGTGCTCATCTTTAAATGACTTAAGTCAGCTGAACGAGTGTTACCACTGCATGTCTAACATTTTCAAATTAATATCATACAATAATGTACCACTACCTACTTTCCAAATTCTCTTTTGAAGTTATTACCCATTCTTTGCATCTTACAGTTATTACCAGTAATATCTTTAAATTTTAAAGATTTTCTAACAAGAGAAAACATACTACAGGTTGGGATTGCTGATCTAAGCATAACTTAACTATAAGACCAGTCAGTCTGCTAAGATATTACATAGATACATAACAGATGATGAAGCTCCTGCACTAGGCTGTATTATTTCCACTTTGTAAATTCTTTTAGTTGTAAGAATTAACTGAAACTGAGACCAGTCTTCTTGAGAGGCAAAACAGAAGGGAAAACTGGTTTGTTTGGTGTTTCCCCCCCCAATTTATGTTATGTACTAGGACAAAATATTTCATTGTAAGACTTACTGGATTACATAAAACTGTGTCGCTGGGCACAAAGCTATTTTGCCAGTAACACTGCTAAGTAAATATAGAAAACCACCCAACATTTAGTCCTCCTTTATTCTACTGGCAATCATTTCATAAATATTCATGACTTACATATTTCTTCTGCATCAATAAGCTGATATTTGTAATTAGTTAAATATCTCATAAGGTTCACATCAGACTGATTTCTTTCATAGGAATGAAGTAGGAGCACAGAGAGGAAAGGAAGTAAAAAGATGTTTTTCCCAAAAAGGGAAAAATAGAACAAAAAAATAAGTCATGATGTCAAGACAAGTCTTTCTATACTGGCCTCTGCCTTTAAAAAATTTCTCTCAGTCAACTCAGCAACATTAAAGAAAGAAAATTCACAACATGACAGAGGTTCCCTGAGTTTTTTCCTCTGTGCCTGCTATATAAAATAGGACAATGTAAAGAACAGCTGGACTAGAGAAAAAGGCTTGAGGACATAGACTTAAATTGTTATTGTGCAGACAGTGTTCTACAAAAACCTAAAGTTTAAACATAGGTTGCAGAATCTATGTGCATGTAGTAACGTCAAGCACACATACATTTCAAGTAAATGTGGACTATAGACTATTCCTGAAATTATTCCTTTGTAGTTAATAGCAATTTAAGATTTGTCACTGAATTACGCTTAAGTTCATAAAAACACTACATATCACAGGTTAATCATTTACCTTCTATTTGTGGTATTTCTCCCTGAAGTTTAGCCTTGCTTGTGAAAGGTGCATTCTGTAGCACCAGTGCAAACAGCGAAGGAATCAATGACTGCAGAGCAGACAGATACATGTGGAGCTTGTGTTCATCCAAGCCATGCTCTCCTTCCTGAAACAAACAGGACATTTATTTTTGCAAGTTTTCGGTTTGGATGATCTGTTGCTTAGGCATGTATTCCCTGGCAAGAGATCAACACATCTGTGATGAGCTTCTACACAGAGACATTAACTATATAGTAACTTATCCTAACCACAAGCTTACTTTGTGTCACCATCCAAATCTCTTAAGTCACTTCTACTCAAAAGATTCAAGCAATAGAGCCTTTGGCATTTAGTAGTTCACGTCAGTGAACATACTGATATTCTGAAAGAACATTTTTCAGCACATTTTGGAAATATGAATCCTTGGTCTCAGAGACCAATACGCCTAAAAACCAAATGAGCTAGATGCCTGTACTCTGAAAGGAAGCATCTTGGTTAAATGTGTTGGACTGTTACGAGATTTCCTATTTTCCAGGACTTTCCAATTATCTACCAAATCAAGTATGCAGACAAAGCGGCTCATAATTGCAAACCACTTAACTAAACCATTCCATTCTACTTTTTTTTTTGTTTAATAAATACTGCATGTCATTAAAAACTGCACTATGTGATACTTAAAAACAATTTAAATATAGTGTAAATGCACTCAGAATAACACACATCTGGTCACAGCCTCAAGCAAGCATTTTATGAACTACACTTTGATTATTGGGTTATAAAGCAAAACAGTAAAGAAGAATATGTTTGGTTTTGGTGTTGTGTTTATTTATTTTTTAACTTCTTCCAAAGGACAAGTAAAAGTTATAGAGTTATAACAAGAATCTCCATTTCTAGAGATATTTTTCAAATTTCCCTTGTAGAACATTAACTAGCAATTATTCATATTTTTATATTTTTCAATAAAGCCTGTATATGTAATACAGAGAAAATTCTCCATTGTAAAAAAGAGCTGAACACATACCCTGAGCAATTTTTCAATTTTATTAAGCAATGTAGGTATAAGATGGAACTGTAAGTTTCCCAGTTCTGTTGTCCAGGCAGCATAAGCAGGTAAAAATACCTGATGCGTTGCACTAACTACGCGTTCTGAAGGGTCTCCTAAAGCTGAAAGCAGCAGTTCAAAGCCCTGGCAAAAGACAATAAAGAACATCATTATTTTCCTTAAATTTATGCTAAAGTTTCCCACACACAGCATGCAGACTAGAAACAAGCAGTCTAAACTTTTAAAAAAAACTTCAGTAAAAACAGAACAAGGTAGTACACAGAGGCCTGTCAACAGATAATCCCACCACATCTACAGAAGTAAATAGCAGATGGTTCAATATCCTACTAGTATACAGTCAAGTTATCAGAATTAATACAAACACATTTTAGCACCCTGCATTCAAAAACTCAAAAACAGGATTAGACGCTCTTAATTTTCACTTATCTGAAACATTATTAGGCAGTATTAAGTTGAACTACAAGTAGACTTTGCTGTAGTAGACAAATGATGACAAGTAGCAAGTGATGACATTAAATTGGCTAATGGTATCAGGTAGACAACGAAGTGGTACGTACTTGAAGGCAAATTATGAACTAGAGAAGCTTCTATATAAGGCTTATAACTGAGGTTCTAACGATACTTCTAAGCATATGCTTTCTTTTTAGTCTTGGTGATACAATAAAATCAACATTCATACAAAACATCAATTTTTTTTTAGAAGTATCTGGAAAGATTTAATAAAAATATGTAAAATTATGCATATGTCATGAAATAACTATAGAAGACATTTTATACATACAGAACCCAAACCAAATTATACCTGTTGATATTTGTCTGGATCATCAATGTATCCCATAATGATACCAAGGCTTTTGATCACAGCTTCTCGTACCAAATCTGCCTTATCTTCCATTAGCATTTGCTGCAGCATGGAAAGTACTAATGAACTACGAATTTCTTTCTGTTTGTAAACAAGAAACAATTGTTAAACACAGTAAAATGAGAAATGTGGATTTTTATCAATTTTTAGAAATAATTTGCATTTCTATTAGTGTTCACGAACAAAATCCCTCTCTCCAACAATGAATCCCTTCCTGAATATTACAAATACAGTTTTCACAACAGAAGATGAATGAATACAAAATGTCAGTACCCTCATTAGAGAGCCTTTTGTCCTACTAAGCACAGAACTCAGGTCCCTTAATTCATATGGAACAAAAAAATAACTAACAGCAAGAAACTACTATAGGGTTAAGACTTAAAACTGCATCTTTAATCACTGCATTGCTAAATTGGAGAAGTGGGGTTTGAATTTGAGTTATTTTCATCTTTTTCTGAAGCTTAAAATTCTAGTTCACCACTGACTTAATTTTGCTGCTGCTTCTGAATGGCACCACTCTTCATGAAACATTCCAGAGTGTCTGAAGAACTCGATGATGCGGTGCCAATTACTTTTTTCAGAGATTATTTCCTTAATTGCTCCTAACTATCTTTAATTCATCTTTACTAAAACAAAGACGTTGTTTTCAGAACACACTGTTTTATAGCTAGATTGATCTGTATTCCTTTATAATGAGCTATCTCCTCAATGTGATTTATTGAATCTCACACGTGTGACAAAGTAGAAGACAATATGACTGTCTATGCATAACATACACCCTTGGGAATACTTAAAATTATAGAGGATGTTTACATTGTGCAACAGATTTTCACTTTGCTTTCAATAGCAAAATATTTAGAGTCAGTATTAATACTTACTGGAAGGTAAGGTGCCAGAGCTCCACAGGATTCTGCTACCAGTAGCCGTCTCTCTGGGTATTTGTGGTTGATCTGGTAAAGAGAAACAGAACTGCTATTTGCTTGCAGTAATCAGTATTTAAAACGTAGTTAGAATGAACTGCAGTGGAGGGACACATCTGCACCTCTTAGATAAATATTGACTGCTCATAGAAGTTGCATATGGATACTAAGAGGCCTTGAATTCTTGCACTGAGGCATAAAGACAAGGCAGATACAGCATTCTTTAGTTGTCTGATAAAAATAGAGTTTATAGCAAGAAAAGAATCTGAGAAGCACATATGTATATGCAACAAAAAGAAGGATGGAAAGCAGCATATGAACTGCTGTATTCTAAAGAATAACTCCTGAGCTGGCATGTTATGAAATATTCTGTCTTGTGTAGACCTTCAGGAGCAACGCTCTTCTAAGAGCTACACAAGTGCCCTCTAGTGCTCTAGCCAACCAACATAGCACAGCTGCCCAGGTCTCGCTAAGCAATCTGGGTCAAAAGAAGACACAAGTATAAGACAGAAAGTACATGCAATGCTACTGAAGTTCTGCTCTGAAACCCAGCACAAACATGTCATGCTTCTAAAATGTGACTGAAAACAGCTCCCATTCCCAAGAATCTCTTGATCCTGTGCTATCTCTCCTTTCTACTCAAAGTTTGTTCGAAAGTTATGCCTTACAAATTTTGTATTGACAATTCTGAATCAATTTTGCACCCTGGTGGAGTAAGCTTTAATGGCCAGCGTAATGGCTGTACAATGAAACACACGATGTGTTTCAATATAATTTGTGACAAATTTAAAACTTTTAAACAAATTGACAGACTGGTCTGTGAGCCCTGATGGGGATGCACCCACGAGTGCTGAGGGAGCTGGCTGATGTAATTGCAAGACCACTCTTGACCAACCTGGCAGCTTTCCGAGATGACTGGCTCAGTGAGTAAGGGGCGAGCAGTGGATATTTTTTATTGTGACTTCAGCAAGACTTTTGATACTGTTTCCCATAACATCCTTGTTCACAAACTGACAAAGTCTGGGCTAGATAAGAACAGTGAGGTGGATGGAAAACTGGGTGAACTAATCACAGGCTCAAACAGTTGTGGCTGGAGGCCAGTCCCCAGTGGTGCACCCCAAGGGTTGATTCTGGGGCCAACAATGATGATGTGTAACATCTTCATTAATGACCTGGATGACAAGACAAGCCACCGCAACAGGTATGTACAAGACAAAAACTGGAAGCAGTGGCTGATATACCTGAGATGGGTGTACTGTCATTCAGAGGCACCTCAACAGGATGGAGAAATGGGCAGACAGGACCCTTACAAAGTTCAAGAAAGGAAAGTGCAAAGTCTTGAACCTGAGTAGAAATAGAGGGGTGACCTCATTCATGTTTATAAATTTGTAAAGGGCAAGTGTCAGGAGGAAGGAGCCAGGGTCTTCTCAGTGATGGCCAATGACAGGACAAGGGGCAATGCGAGCAAATGGAGCATAGGTGGTTTAATCTGAACATGAGGAAAAACTTTTTCACTGTGAGGGTGCCAGAGCACAGGACCAGGCTGCCCAGAGAGGTTGTGGAGTCTCCTTCTCTGGAGACATTCAAAACCCTCCTGGACACGTTCCTGTGTGACCTAGTCTAGGTGATCCTGCTCTGGCAGGGGGGTTGGACTGGATGGTCTTTCAAGGTCCCTTCCAACTCCTAATATTCTGTGATTCTGAGTGTGTTTAAACATTATTTTCCATTCATTTATCACTAGGGCACCTGTAATATTTTTTGGAAGTATGGAGACTTCATAGATTAGAAACATTACAGGCACACAACAGGCTGCTTTAATACCCATAGTATCTTTGACTTATGTGCCGTTTTCCCAAATGCAAGTTCCCTACTGGTAACAGAGATACACATTGCCTTCTGGAGCTCTGCCCACCTGAGGGAAACAGCAAAGAGTAATTTTAACTGGTTTATGTGGACTAGCAAAGATCATCCCTGATTTTGCAAAGACGTACTGGCACACTAGAGGAAAAAAAAGACTCAAATTTCTGCAAGGTTTGAGTTCAGGGAAGATTATTAGCTCTTGGAAACTTAAACATAACAGCAAATTGTTTATTACCATTTCTTTTCCTTCTGTCTTTAATAAGCAGTAGTACAATTTTGTAAGCCAGTTAACTGGTCACTTGTTCCAAGGGAACTTTTAGCATTCACACAGTCTTGATCTAAACTCAGATGAGCCAGCTACAGAACTCTATACATGGAGCTGCAAAGAGCAGGTAGAAAGATGACAAAGACTAGCCCGATAACTCTGAGCTCCAGAATGTGTGGATGAAAATGCTGAATCTTCTGAGGGCCCAACAGTCCTCTGCACTTGTAAACAGATTTTGGCTGAATACCAACTGCATGAATGCTTTCACAATTAAAGCATCTACTGAGAAAAGGTAGAAAATTATGTGTACTTTTGTGTTCCTTCTACAAACTCAGTCTTGTGACAATGAAATTCAGCTGGTACTCTGCTGGAGAAAATAACGACCTGGTTTGCAAACAAAGTCTGGCAAAATGCATTAAATAAATGCATGATGACATATGGCTTGGCAGCTTGATATGCTGCACTATTACAATTGGACTGGTTTTCTGCATCAGGAATTAGCAAGAAACTGGTATAAAGATGACGTTTCTATGGAGGTGAGACTTTTTTTAAACACTGTTTAAATTTCATGAGAAGGACTAAGAAAACAAAGTGTGGTTTATTTTGTGTTCAACTCCTATTGCCATGGGTCTTTGATTTAATCAGAAGATATATCAGTCATACACATAAGTACAAACGTTGCACATAATATGTACTTCTGCTGTCAGAAAGCATTAAGACTACTAAAGCTTAGACTTTACTGTGAAACACAGATGGCTGAGTTATGCTAGAAACAGCAGACAATTATCAGACCAGACAGACTGTGCCATCAAAGCAAGCATTACCACTGTCACGGCTTACTTATTCATTATCTTTTAAGCAACGATGAACTCCCTTTTCTTCATCATGGTAGGAAAATACAATGCATTTTTACCTGAACTCATGTTGTTCTGTTTCTATGCCTCAGATGAAACAAGAAAAATATTTCCGTTTGGTTGCTCAATTATTTCTATTAATTTAGATTATCTGTGGAAAAGGTGACTGTGATTCTAGAACACATGTAAACTTCAGGCTGATCTTACAGCTGTAAAATCATGCCCAGCTACAGAGGACTTATTTCTCACTACTTTGATCTTTAATTTTATGTTTAAGTATTTAAACTAGCTGAAGTGTGGACACTGCTCCAGGGACTTATTACAATATAAATATCAGTGCATGAAGTCTTCCAGTGAAAATGGATTTCCAATAGTCTGAAAATTACAGTACTAATCAGAAAGACACCTACCTTGCAATAGGTTAGGCAACACTGATGATAAACATGTACATAGCAATACTTCAATACAACAAACATATGCAGGTATATACAGGTAACTAGAGTCTCCAGATAGTCTTTTAAAATTTTTCTGCTCTTGAATTCTTTTTAAATATTATATAAAAGTACATATAATGAAGACAAAGAGCATCCAAACATCTTTCTGAAAAAATATTTTGAAGAGCCATTAATTTAAAAATAAAATAACAACAACCACCCTCAAATAAATAAAACTCAGCATTTATGAAATTTTAACTAATTTTCCAGCATAAAGCACAACATAATCAGTTACCTGTTCCCAACACTGTGGTAAAAGCTCGGCTTCCACTCGTGTTGGTCCAACATGTCGAGCAAATGCCACACACCCAGTCAGTATCATCTGTCTGAAAATACACATTTAAAGCTTTAATCTTTGTATAAAATTCTATAATATACACAACATATTCTTTAAGTTAGGAAAAGTAGATGCTATCAGGCAACAGCTAATTGTCTATAATCATAATTTCATACCATACACACTGACCTGATGGCTAAATCTTAAATTGAAAGCCACTATCTTGCTTTCTATTTAATATGCCTTTTCCAGAAACTTGCAGATCCCAAACCTCAGGAACCAGACTGTGAGAATCTCTGATTTGGGAATCTGACAATCTTCTCCTTTACTTCTTATTACTGAATACTACAATCCACCATGCAGTCAAGGGATCTAAATCACTTAATACTATCACACTACCAGTATTTAGAAGCATTCATGAGATTTAATGACCTTTGTTCAAAACAAGTAACTTAAATCTTTCCTGAAATGGTTTTGCAACATTCTAACATGCAAGTTACTGTTGTCTGTCCCAAAATACTGGACTTTACTCTTGTCAGAAAGCTTCTACAGCCCATTATAAAAGGGAAGGAATTAACCAACCAGTAGTACCTATGGTCACCTGAGTCATTAGTATTTCTGTTCTTATTTTTTTTTATCTTTCCTCAAAGTTTGCAAGAAATCACTATCGTTCCATCAATTTCACAGGCAGAGATACATATTTAAAATGACAATAAAACAGTACTTACCTGTCATTTGTGATATTTTAACTTTTATTTAATGAATATTCATCTTGCTAAGATTTTTTACTTCTAAATAATTCTCCTGTTAATAGGATTGGAATGATACCAAACTTTGCATGCAATTCACTAGTTCTGTTTACTTTTAGTGTCTACATTAACACTTAAGTAACCAGTTCCAAACAATCACACATGGACACGAGACTCTAATTTTATCACTCCCTCAGGAAGATTAGGACACCACTGAGTATTTGTTCATTATTACTTTGTGGAAAGCCAGAATTAATGTGTTACCATTTTAGTGACATGTCTGAGCTCCTAAATATTTATGCAGCTACTAGTGTGCCCTTAAGGTTGAAAGGCAGAGATTCGGCTGGTTATTTCAGTTACACAATATTCTATGAATATGAGTCATTGAAAAGACTCGTTCACTTTCAGAACCTTTTCAAGGAGAAAGAGCTATTCCAATACCTGCCTGGTTCTACACACTGCACCTAATCACAAAACGGGGCAATAGAATGTACTTTTATAAGACAGTAAGAAAGCAAATAGCAGTATACAGTAATCACTTGAAATCTTCTGCATTAGAAATGGGGAAGGCAAAAAAATATTTTTTTTTAAATTAAGCTTTTTCAAGAAAGTTCCATGAAATCTCAAAATTAAGTCAGATTTTCTTTTGCCTTTATAGAAAGTAGGGAACTTTAAGATGTTGAAAAAAACAGTAAAAGAGATGTTTTAAATATTTTACTGTAACCATGTTAGAAGTACATGACAACAGTCAGTATCTCAGGGGAAGGAAAGGTTGTAAGGATTTCAATAACAGGTTATTGAAACAAAAAATGTTAACACTGAGCTGCTGCAAAAATTAGTCTAGACTGGATATGGGAAAAACTTTCTATTTATTGTCATAATGATCTCTCTTGTTAACAAGATGCTGGGAATGCTCTCCTCAAAGAGCACTCTCCAGGTTATGAACTTAGGATCACTTAGGCAGGAACATAAAGCAAATCAGTACAGTTCAGCACAGCACTTCTTTGCTTCATCAGTGCAGAAACCAAAGCGAAATCAAGAATCAGCCTAGAGGAACAGGGCAGAAGTTAGAGTAGAACAGATGTAATTTAACACTTGTAAACTCTTTCTAGAGTTTAAAAAGTGACTGCATGCACTGGTATGCAATTCAGTATTATATCATACAGTTCAAGCTGCTTTTGTCACTCCTAAAGGTTATATTAAAAACTTACTTGCCAGAGTTTCCCTTACTATGTAAGCTGTGTGTGTTCTGTAAGAGATGGTATCATATGGCCAATGGAAAGTCATACTAGACGCACTAAGCTTAACGTGTTTTAGCTTGTTTTCATTAAGAGTGCTGCTTCTGGGTACATTACTTTGAAATCTTCAGGAGTTCACATTTTGAGCTATGTTTTAACCTTGCCCTAAAGACCCCAACATTAATCTGACTTCTTCATGGCTTCTCAGCTTCCAAACACAATATAATTGACCAAAAAGAAGTTTAAATAAAGCTAACACATTTGTTCATTTGCTGAAGAGAATTTGATAGACACTTGAAAAGCTGAGTAGTACATTATAATAAGCAAAACACTGAGGATAAAAGTGCCCTTGTTAAATATGTAAATATACAAAATTACAGCAATGTACTCTATCTGCATGCACGAAAAAGCCTCTCACATGGGCAAGTATAAAAAAAGGCTTTCTGCATAATTCTAAACATACTCTACAAGGTCAAACATTTAAAGTAAAAGACTTATTATAATGGGTTCAGGCATATGAAAAATCTACTTGATAGGCAACCAATCCTGTGACAAATTAACTACAAGAGACTACAAGTGAGATGTAACTTCCTTCCCCCCTCATCCACAAGATAATTTTAGCTTCTCAATCTGCATGGGACAGTCACAACATTTTAGACAATGGTAGACTTCTCAGCAGCAGATTTCTAATGAATCTGAAGTAGAACAAGGACTACTTCTTTTTGTAACTTCAATCTGCATGGCGCCCCTGTGCTACAAGTTGCTTTTATTTATTTATTTCAGTGTTGTCACTAAAGCCATCTCTTTCAGTTGGACCTCAATTCTGAATTTTACCATGGGAACAATTTAGAAAGACACCAGAACACCTCAGTTTCGGAGAATCTTCAAAAGAAACACTTTCCACCTATTTCATAAAACCTATTTTGTCTGAAGACAGAACAGAGCAACGATAGATACAGGTGCTTTACAAAACATCTCTAATGAAAATAATGGAAGAACTACAGATAAAATAGGAAAAAAAATATTTCCACAGTTAGAGAAGGGATCACACCAGCTGGTGTACTGTCTTTCAACCTTAAGGATATTCTTACTGACAAATAAAGTCAGATTTTCTGAGTACTAAGGAAGAACTGAACTTACAAAACAATACAAAATATACTTCGTTTCAAAGTCTTGAACAAAATGAAACAAAGCTCTTAACACTTGTCAGAACTAAATCACCACGTTGGTCTTCTGATTTTTTTTTTATTGCTATCATAGTAGCGAACCATAAGTAGGAAGAGTACTATTTTCTCATGCTGTTTTCCCCTACTAAATATGGTAGTTAACTTACAAACAAAGATCACTAAGACAGAGGTTTAAAAAAGCTGTTTTGATTTCTGTATCAACTATAAACTTAAAGCTCATTTTAACAAAGCATTTCATTAATCTCCAAACAAAAAATGCAACTGAAATGTTACACTACAGCTAATGAAGCACATTCTCACGTTTCAGTAACTAGAAAGTACAGGCCATGAAAACGGAAAGTCCCAAAGTCCACATCAATTTGACAGCGTTATACCAGCAAAATATCAGCTTAAGCGAAACCTGGTTAAAATCATCCAACAATATCCAGTTTCGATTAGTTCTGCTTCTTTGAGAAAGAAAAACGTTCCTTCTTGTCCCGCAGCACACCAACGCGAACACACCTTTGCTCATCATCTGGTCGTTTGATCAAGTTGAACAGTATGTGCAGAAGCTGATCTCTCTCTTTGGGCTCAGGATGGAGGCAGGCGGTACACAGTATGAGTGGGATCAATTCCTAAAAAGTTGTGGGAAGGGGAAAACCAAACAAAGTCAAAATGCTTTGGGCAAATATTCATTAATGGCACAAGAACCTAAGAAGATAAAACTAGCCACATAACATCAAAACAGTTAGAGAAGATGTTTTAGAGTCTTGTTCTCTTATTAAGTGACCTGAAAAGAAGCAAAGGTCTACAGAAGTTAGAAATATTTTCCTGCTAGGAAAGATCAGGGGAGAATCAGCACATAAAATAAAAAGCTCTGCAAAGATTACAGTTAACAAATGCAGATCACCTATAACCAGAATCAGGACAACCACCTATAACCAGAATCAGGACAACCATGGTGTAAATTTTCTTCACTACCTACTGCGCTGAAGTGAGCCCCATAGACATCTATGGAACAAAGCTCCTATGGAAAAAGCTATTTCTGAGGCCATGGAGTTAAAGACAAAGATTTCCAATTAAGCATGCACAGAGTTTCGTGCACAACTTCAGTAAGCACTGAGAAATTCTACCATACACTGGTAGAGGTGACTGCAGACAGTTATACTCTATTTTGTGTTGACTGAGAACTACATGATTTTTAAAGGTTTTTTTGGTGTTTGTTTGGTGGGTTTTTTTCCTTTATTACATTTTTCAATAAAGAGGCAGTATCTGAAGCTGAATTTTCTTTTTAAAGCAATTTAATTCCCCTAGGGAGCACACTACCAAGAAAATACCATGTAAAACATCAACGGAAAGAAAGTACAAGGCCATTTACAATAGTGAGTATCTGTCTACAAATTCCTTCAAAGCTCATGGTATTCATTCCCAGAAGAAACAAATGTTTTCAAAACACAGACTGGAAGTCCCTTTCCTTGACTTTATTGAGGTGAGCCTTTATTCCAACCCAATTTGGAAGCCACACAATTTCTAGGTAATTTAATAACTTGGGGACAGAAACATCACACTGGGAGCATGTGGGAAAAGAACAAGACAAGCCTAGGTGTCTGCAGAGAAAACATGGGCAAGCAATCTGGGGACTTCCTCTCCCACCTACTGCACCCTTTGAGCCACTTTCAACAGACAAGCAGTTTGTGAATTCATAAGCCATGACAAACAAGCAGATGACAGTGGGAAACACTTCTGAAGCTACTAGGAAAGATTATACAAAACCTGGAAAAAATTATTGTTATCTGTAACAACTTTGCAGGGAGGTGCCAACTTCTTCTCGCAGACATTCAAAGTGACCTATTCATGATGTTGAGAGTAAGCCTATTGAACAAGGTGGAAACAACATTAAAGACATCCTCATTGCTCAACCTGTATTTTCCTAAACAGCAAGTGCTGTTTCTTTTAAGCATGGACCAATACTTTATTTTAGGGCATTGCCTAAGCTAGTCAACTCCCAACAAGATTTTGTTTTCATCTGACAAGACTTCTAGTCAGCGTGCTACTTTTCCCCCCCCGAAGACACATCCTAAAAAGTATTTTAACATTCTAGAAGATATTTTGGCAATATTTAACCCAAATATGGTACAGATTAGGGAATTCACGATGAGACGGAGGAATTAATGTGGAAATATCCTACCCACCGCGTCAAAAATCTGAAAGTACAGAAGGAGAAATGAGAAATAAATCTGAGCAACTTGGACATTTCTATTTCACAGTGTTGTAAAGTGAGACAGTTTTTGGGTTTGTATTTAAGAATAGCACAATACGAAATAATGGGAATTGAAAACTTGCATTAAAGAAACTTGACAAATCATATAGCATGAAGAGCTAAATAACTTTCTTCAGCTGAAAGCTCCTTTTCATCTAGAACTTGCAGGCTACTTTTGTTTGGATACTTAAAATTCAGCTTTTGCCCATTTAAGTTCTGAGAAGGCAGGGGGTTTAACCTATTTAACTTTTTTTTTGGTACTTCACAAAAGCATTTTCTCTCCTACAAACACCATTTTAAATAAAAAATATTTTAAAAAAATATTATAAAAACACAACCCCAAAAACCTGCAACTCTAATTACCACTACTTATACATTAAGCTAAGCTCTTTTAAAGAGGAAATCAGATTGCAATTTGTAGATACAGAACGTAATTACTAACTTCACCATAGATCTTAGAAAATCCTCTAAATCAAAACAAACCTTGTGTTACTTTACTGAAATCTAACTTTCTGCAATCTACCCTAAGTTCACATTATCCAACTGTTCTTGAGATTATTCTTAACTACTCCTTCTAAAGAATTTTGTAAAAAAGAATGCATATTTTTATATATCAAAAAGAATCTATATTTTTATGATCTGGGGGCTTTGCTTCACTTGTTGAAACCATCACACTGACTCCACTTTCCTAGTGTGTTTGAGTAGCTACTCAGAAACCTCCACTCTTTACTCAGAACTACTGCTAGCTTTCAAAACAGTGCCATGAGCTCTACTTATTTTTTAAAGCTTCTTTTCAAATTTAAGGAAGTTAACAAAGTGGTCTTTTTCCAGCTGAGTCTATATGAAAGGAAAACACCTCCAAATATTCACCTAGATACTACTACCTTGTGTGTGAAAGGCTAATGAGTAACCTAAACACCATTGACAGGGGGCAGATACAAGGCTGGTTCTTTACCTTGCAGAAAGCTGGTTATTATAGGTGACAGGGTTAGCTGTATTTTCTTGTCCATTGGTCACATTCTTTCATGCATACTATGGGAGAGGAGTGTGTTCTCTGCATCGCTGCACCAGTGCTTCTACAGCTCCTTCTATTAAGGGGAGTGGAGAAACAGTGAGAAGTCTTGAACAGTGTTTTGTATGTTCCCTATAGACTTAATGGACAGGAAGGGAAAACTGGAGGTGAAAGGGACATTCTGTGGGACAAGAACAACAAAACTGCTCTCACAGATGGACAAAACAGGTCAAGTGATGTCTCCCAAAGACTTCAAAAGGGACAGATTCTTCTTTGGATATTCAGGATGATCAAGAACAAAAACCAATCTACAGGCAGATTCGAGCTCATTCTTTCCTGTTGCTAAGGGCCATGCCTTAGGTGTAGACTTGTATAATAAACCTCAGATTTTTCATTGTCAAAAACAGCAGAAAAGAGCTGTAGAAAATGGTACATTTTCTAATAAGGCACAATATTAGGATTTGGCTGTTTAAATTCAAGAGGAAAGTTCATAACACAGCAATGGAGACTGTATATAATTATTAATAATAAAGGAGAGGACTTCCAGTGCTATCTGAAACACTCTGCCTTCCTTAGGAAGGAATACCACTTGTGCTGGCAGCCATAAAGCAAGGACAAATTTTTTTAAAAAGTAACACCCCTCCCTCTATTTCATTGAGAATCCTTCCTAAATGCCCTGTTTATCTCCAAGTCCCTCTTTTCTCTTTTGCCTCTGACTTAGGAGAATGGATGAGTTCATGTTGGTGTTAGTTAGGAGTGACCTGCAGAACTGCAAGCCTGTTTTCCCATTAGATGCCAAGCAGACTGCTGGTATAACATCGTCAGCACTTGCAACTTGATGAAATAAAACATCACGTGTCAGAGGTCACACCTCCACTACTGAAAAGGCAAGCTCATATCCGAGGCAGTTTATATCTGTGAGCTACCCAGATGCAGAATATGGAGAAAAACTTATTTTGTTTTTAGTGTGAGATAAGCTACATACAGGTAAATGATGGACAAGGCAATGAAGGCGACATATTGCACTGCACAGGAGAACTGAAACAGCCTGTCTCTGTTCAACTTCTGCCTAACTGTCCACTTAAGGCCTGTCCAAAGAAAAACTCATTGTTTTCGTCACAGTACTCCCTAGCTTGTAACAACATGTTCTCTTATCTTTGAATGGGATTCAGCACTTCAGCTGATTCAAGTTCTCAATAAAGGCAACATTTACATGGGCAGACAGAGCAGCTCTTCCTTATGGTCAAAACAAGGTGACTTTTTAATGGTATCACCTCAATTATATACAAAACAGTTCCTCCTCTTACATATTAAAAGCATCAAACCAAAATTAGAGTTTTGGTATATTTAAAATGCATTCTATTGCAAGCATTTGTCTATTTTGCTGACAATTTTCTTGCAAGGTAGCAAGGAATTTTCTGTCTATGTTGATGCCTTCATTACAATTTATTTCGTTTAACATTCTGACAAAAAGTCTTCTACAACTTAGTTTCTCTCATTAACTAGTGTCTTTTGTTAGTGTATTCATAAGCAAAAGAATTATCTCAAAGAATAAATTTCATTAGCGTTAAGTGTCAAGAATGGTTACTTCAATAGCTCAGTATAGCAATCTCTTATTATTTCAAATATTAATGTAATAATATGACAAACAGGTGACAACATATTATATAAATTAGGACATTATGATCGATTTTTTAAATGTGTCCCTTTTAATCTTCTCTGATATTCAATGCTTATATTGTGAATTAATGCTGTATTAAAAATCTTCTGCAACTTAGCCTCTGACAACCATAAAATAAAATAATCTTATTTGCAGCAACTGAAGTAGCAGCAGGTACTGACAAACTACTGATATGGAGTCTTGTGCAAGGATGTATTTGAAGCTCAGAATTAATCCTTTCAGTTTTAAAATTAAAAAATATATTTAATCATAGGATTAATATATGACTCAGAACTTTCTGCTACTCATCTTATTAATATTAAAATTACAACTCTAATTACATTTCATGGGATGAGACTATGATTCCAGGATCCAAATTAAGCCCCTTGTAGATCCCAAAGGGATGCTTTTACATAAGAATTAATACAGATTTGGGCGTGAAGAACACTTTGTACTTCTTTGTTTGTATCAACGGTTTATTTGGAAACCTGCACATAAAACTACTGCGATACAGCTAGTAACAACTGGCAATTCAGTTCATAAACACTAAATTCAACTCCATGCATCCATGAATTATGTTATGTTTAAAGACACGGTGTTGAAAGACACCAGCTTTCAGACTAGAGGTGAAAAAGATACTCTATGAGATTGAGCTATTTCATTCTAGGAAAACTACTCTAGCCCCTCATATCCAGAGACGGGAACTAACAGGACATGAGTTAAAAAATGGTTTTGTCTCTCTCTTACATGTGTGTGCGGGGAAACTTCACCCCCAAAACAAAGTAGCCCCCCAAACCAAAACTAACACCCCACATAAACCAGAAAAGAACCAGCAAACAGGCTGCGGTCAACAGTATCCCTATTTTTAAGAAACAGTCTAGAGAAGCCTACCACAATCTAACTTCTACAGAGTAACAGAAAATATTTTAATTTTTCATTTAGATTTTTCTGTTCTCCCATATTCCGTGAAATAGAAACAGTCATTTAGAAGATCCTGACGGCCGACAATTTTCATGCTCAGAAACCCAAACTTATATACCTTTTTCCATATCCAACCAGAATGGCATCTGCTTGACAGCAACTGGCAACAGCCACTTAATGATACTGCCAAGCTTGAACGCAGCATTCTTTTACATTTTTCAGCAAGGCCAGTATTTTATGGCTTTTAAAGTGTAAGGCTGAGATGAAAATCTGTAATAAGATATTAAGCTCTATGGCGTTTTAAAAGACAGCTACCTACAACAACTGCCAGAGAACAACGCCTCAGTGACGTCTACGTGTAGTTACTACACATTAATGTGAACAGCTTTAAACAACTTTAAAACTACAGCACAGTCAAGAATGGCACTCATTTGGAGTCTGCAGATTCAGCATTATCTTTGTTTCAGCTTTACAAAGAAAAAATTCTTCTATTCTTAACACAATGAACTCCAGATAAATAACAGTTTCATGGTATAAAAATCTAGTGGTGCACGTTTAGTAAACCATGAGTGATTTTGCTAATCATGATTTTACCATCATGATTTTGCCAAGTTTGCATAACACAAATGAAAGTTACAGAAACTAACGCTGGAATATCAGGTGAGATGAAAGGTATAAATAATGAAGAAAAAGCATTTCTTGATTAAGAATAAGAGTAACAAGATCCTGATACTAAACCAGAAAGTTTCCTCTGGCCCAGACTCTGTGAAAGGACTACATGCTGCAGAGCGTGAAAGTTCTACACACAAACAAGTTTATTCCTCGATACTGATTTTTTCATCTTATAAAGGGTGAGAAATAGCATTACACTGATGAGTTATTGCAAAAATTTTAAAATATTACTTTTCTCTAATTACAGTTTGGCCAAAGAGATCTTTTTTATGGTATAACTCTTGACAAATAGAAAGTGGTTGATTTTATTACTTTATCTTAAATGTGTTTTTGTTTTAAGTGGTAAACCCACATTTGAGGAAGGAGATTCCCATGCAGATGAAATGTTATGAACTCATGGTGCTCATCTGCAAGAAGCGTTACCACAGACTGCATACAGAAACAAAGGAGTTTTCAATTTTCTGAAGAACAGGTTTTTACCATTCTGTTACTTTTCATTCCAATTACTATTTGGCTTGCATTATCTCCCTTGTTTGAGAGTGCACCAACATAGAAATCTAAACATTGACATACATGTTTTCAAGCAGTTAGGATAAACTGGACACTTGGATAAAAACAAAATTAGATTTATATATTGATACATGGAATTTTAATGACTATGAATTGCTTTCAGGCAATTATCCTGAACACAATTATGCACTATTGATTTTACTCAGTTGAACTGCTCTTTCAGAAACAACTAAAACGATCTGCTCAGCCACCCTACTGAATACTGTATTTTTCCTTCTTTCATATCTTTCATAGGAATTTAAACTACAGACATGGAAGAGAACAATTAAAGCTGTACCAATACATAAAAATACTACAAATACTTTCAGAAGTGCATCAGACATTCTGACACTAACTCTTCACTCAGGTGTCAACTGCAGGCTGCTACTGACCTGAAGAGGGTTAAACACACTGGTGAAATGGCTCCTGAACCTCTGGTAAACGACAATACCTACTGAGAGATGGTCAACCTGCACAAACACGGTTTCTCCAAAATGAAAATGGACAGCACAATATTTTTTAGTTCAAGATTTTGCAACCAATTTCAACATGACAGATGTTTAAAGAATAAAGATAGGTACTTCAGGGAGTCATCACAAAATTACGTTTAATTGCCACGTCTAGCACCCTGACAGTGTAAGATCTTAAATACTACCACTGTATCATTTCAGAGCAGACTGGCCATCACTTCGCACTATAACCTCAACATGTTACACATCTTTCTCAAATTAGTGATCTCTTGGTATAATTTTACACAACTTCTCTGTAAAATTGTGCTAAGGCTCTCTCATGATAAGGTTGGTTTTGCACAAGACCCAAAGCTGTACTTTGTTAAAGAAAACCCGATTCTTAGGTTAGCTTTTCATAATATGGATATTAATAAATACGAACAGATGGTCTACCCAAGTTCTCCTTCAAATTCCACGACTACACCTGAAAGAACATTACAATAGTTATAGCAACGGGTGGTAACTGAGAAAAGATATTTTTAAAGCAAATTTAAATTCTCAGAACATGAAGCATCCCGCATAATCTAGTTACACAATTCTCACTTGTGGCTTTTTCAATCAAATTGAAACAGATGATTCATTTAAGGCAAAAATGCATATAATCAAATGCAACCTCAACTGTGAAACAAAATAAGTACGAAACAGCCTGAAAGGTCACAAAATATTAAATGCTTTATACAGATTATACTACAAGCTGTGAAAAGAAGCCAAAATACCACATCCTGCCAAGCAGAGGGAAGGAAAGGAATAAGTAAGAAATGAGAAATTAAGCACTGATCCAGGAACATTCACAGAATTATTCTGAAAGTCTACTAACAGAACCATTTCCAGAACACCCACTTAACACCCCCAACCCCTCCGAAAAAAAACCAAAAAAACTCAACCAAAAAATGAAAACCAAAGAACTTTTATAAAGTTTGAGACTTTCAAAATTGGGTGCAACTCAAACTCACCACGTCAACTGCTGATAATTATTCGTGTTATAAAATGTCAGATTATAGGATCAGTACAAATTTCTTAAGGATTTTTCAAAGCCTTCAAATGAATATATGCATAATGCACTACTAAGTTTACCATACTGTAGGTCCCCTCAATAAGGGCTAAAACTTAACGAGCTATGCTACTTCAAATCCTCTATTTCAGTCTCAACTATAAGGCCGCTGATTTTTCGTTTTATCTATTTTCTTGGGTTTATTTATTACACATTTGTTAATGTGCAATATTTACAACAAAGGAATACAAAACCAGTCATATTTTTTCCAGTCTTCCCTTTCTACACTAGAGTATGAATTATTATGCAAAACACCATACTCATTCACATGCAAAATAAACATTACACTTCCATAATTTTTTTTAGCTTCATTTTAAATTTAGGGAAAACATAAGCAAGACTGTTAATTTTCTTGTGAAGGAGTGATTTTGATGAACCACTTGGCTGATACATGGAGCTTCTAGGAGACAGTGAAATAAATGTTCCGTTGAAGGACACAGTGCTGTGAAGTAACATGAACATTATCCTTATTAAAATTGATTGGTAAAATTAACCAAATTGAATATTTGATCTTATATCCTCTGCTTTTTAGAACACACGTTAACTATGGTCTTCTCTAACAAAAATATTAGTACTACCACAAACAGATGGACCTACAGTAACAGTTAAGTCTTGCTGAATGCTAACGGGTGCCTTAAGCAAAGGAAGAAATATTAGGATACCATGCAGGTTTACTGAACTCACCTGACAGAGGTGTAAAACCATTTTCTAGGAGCAGAGATGCATGCACAAAAGTAAGAACATGATTGCAAGTAACAGACTTTCATGAAATTAGACACATTATCTTCAAAAGAACAAGAAAGCATCCTGGTAAAAATAAAGAGTAAAATTTCAGGGTTTCTCACCTCTCGCTTTGCAAGCAGCACATTAGGAACAATATGAGGCAGGCAGCGTCCCAACATTAACATGACACTTTTTTCACTATCTGCAATCCGAGATACCTAGAAAACCAAGTTGTTTTGTTTTTGTTTTTTCAAATGAAGCAGAGGAACAGAAAAATATCCTTTCAAAGGAATAATAAGAATTGCAGCAGGCTGATCACTTACCAAAAAATTATTTAATTTACTCACACACATTAAGCGGCATGGTTTTGATCTGGCAGTAACTTCAAAAGCATGAATCCATTTGTAGAGACTCAAAACTTTCCAGGAATTAAATATCTATTACTAGGTTTCATATTTAAGCTAAAATCTGAAACCATATCCTTATTTCTTAAATTTCATTCACATCAATTTGTTTCAAAGCAATTATTGTTTGTTTAACCATTGCTGCCATGCAGAATAGAGGATTATCTAGTTTATGTCAACTGGGAAATATACCTCTGATCCCAAGCGGCTGTCTGCTGACATCCGACAGAAAGACAGTAGTGCCTGATGGAAAGCTGGTGACAATTTCCTGAAATATTATCAAAAAAGGGAGGGGGAGAAAAAGGCATAGGTAAAATGACATTCAGAAAGCATGTTTGAAGTGAAGCATACTGCAGAAGTGTTTGTTTAAAATTATCTTTGGCTTTTAGGGTGTTTAGTTGGCAGCAAGGAAAAAAGCGGGTGTCCTAATTAAGAAGTTAGTTTTAGTTCTGGAAAAAACGTAACATATTCCGAACTGCTGCAGAGACAAAAATAGGTCTAAAGCACAAAGAAAATGAAGTTGCAGCAATACAAGACGCAGCACACAATTATGCAAACGGGGTGGAAGTGCCGGAAATCACAAGAAACAGTATTTTTGCTTAATGCTCCAATTCTGCACATTGCATAAAAACATTTGAGTCAGTCTCTTACAAGCTTCAGGATTAAACAGAGATTGCTCAACTGCCACTCTGGAATCTAAACACTGGGTTCAAACGTATAGCAAGGACCTCAAAGCTCACCTTAAATTAGTACCTAATCCCTAACATAGATGTGTATGGGTAGAAGTACTGCCTCATGGCAATGTGCAGCACCAGCCAATGCAGCGCAGCTACTCAGAGCCTTAAGCATACACAGAAAACCCTGGTAAGAGTCTCAAAACAGCCTTGTCCGAGGAGGATCATTTGGCAGCAATGTTCTCACAAAACAATTACTGGACTGAGCATTACATAAACCAGAAAAGCGTCCACAGCAGCAGCATCCTCTTTTTCCCAGTAATGACAACTCCCTCTGCCTTATCTGAGGCCTGTATTTAGATGCTAATTTAATGCTGCCTCATCCACTATGCTTTGGGAGGAAAAAGAACATTTGCCTTCTGAAAGATGCACAGAAAGCATCTCACCCTATATTATAATTTGCTGTTTGAATCCTCTAGTGACAATATGAGTTTAAGGGAAGAGAAGATTCCTATTTCTTATGCGGAAAGTGGTATCACCCTTTAACTCTGGAAAATGTTATTTTGTGCACCTAAGCACATAAAATCCTATACACATGCAATTATGTGTATCGACATATATTTTTTTATCTAACAGACTGAAGCATCACACTATTTATGGTAAATATATCATTCACACTTTTCTAACCAAAAAAGCAGCACATTAAGAACATGAAAGTTCCTACTTAAAATTGTTTAAACTAATCCAGTAAGATATGGATAAATATACCAGAGTAGCTTTCCTCTTCTATTTACAAAACATGATAAATAAGAAGTTAAGTTTCTTTCTTAAAATCAACTTTCTTTCCTGACAGTATGGGTTTTTAAAACACGTTTTAAATTTTAATGAAGTAAGTTTGTTTTAATTCAAATCAGCTTAGTTTTGTGCAAGGGTTCACTTTGAAAAAAGTTACTAAATGACTCAGATGGTAGTGAGTTGTAAAGGACCTCTGTCTAACAACAGGTTAGTCCTTATTCTGTAAAAGTATTTTTGAATGACAGATTTCCAGACTCTACTCAAGGCTTTAAGGCTTATTTACACTGGGAGAACAGAAGCAAGCATTACAAACCAGCAACTTAAGAGAGCAGCAAGGCCTTGGCCAGCCCTTCACCCAGGCTGTCCTTCACCTCTGCTCCTTCTGCAGAACATCACTTGAAACCTTAATTACAATCCTACATAAGGGCAAAGTTCTATCCCCATTTTGCAGAGACTGAACACTAACTATGACAAATATGCCACTGAATTTCCCTGTGGATTAATTAACAGCAAGCTCTGGACAGCGTGGATCTCATTATGATTGCTGGCTATATTTAGAGTCAAGAAAGGTTCTCCTTGATGAAGTTGAGTAAAATCTTGATAGCTGTGCTGGACAGAAGTGATGGCAGACCCAGGCCTCTCGGACACAAGTCAGTGGAAAGTCTTTTCAAGGGTTCAAATATAAGAAAGTGAATAAAAAGTGAATGAATACAGAAACCAAGCACAACTGTTCTGTTCCCTGTAACACTGACAAAATATTGACAAAAGAGTCAATTAACTGAGGAAGTCCAGAGTGACTGCTATATGTAGAAAACACCTTGTATTTGCTGTAAACTACCAAACACCTACAATGAGTTGAATAAATACATGTGGTGCAGTCTATTTAAACTGCTGCTAGTGCTTTCTACTGCAATCCGTTAGAAGAGGCGTTTTTGTGTCCTTGCTTGCGGGTGAGCAGGCACAGCTGCTCGCAGCGCAGGCACACAAAGCAGGCTCACTTGCTTTCCTCTCCTCTCTTCCCATCTGGGCAAGACGTATGTCAAGAATCCGCTCCCTAACTACAGTAGAACAATCTTGCCTTTGAGGATAGAGTCTTAGTCTTTAATATCTCTTTATACATTCTGAATAAACTGCAGTAATTGTCTCCTACAAATAACCACCCCTGGACTGAAATAATTTAATATGCATTGCTTCTATAGTGCAGCTTCTCCCACAGATCTCAAAATACTTAAAGAACATAATTCTTCATGAAAAAGAGTTTACTGGATTATTAAAAATGAAGTACATAATCCAGGAAGAAAATTTAGTGATACAGACCTATAAAACACTATCAAATATGGCTTCCTTTGACCCTTCATGTCATGTTAAGCCCAAAACTCGGAACAAAAATAGCTACATTTTACATATGCATTACTCATTTCCACAGTGAACAGCATTTGAGGGCACTTCTGAACGTAACTCATGGGGATTCACAGCTTTAACTACTTCTCAAATAAATCCACAAGCAGTTATGTTTAAAGGAGCTATGAGCATCAAAACAAATTTTGTTTTTCTAGAGATTGTCATAAATCCCACTGGAGATACTCACAGTTCCTTACTCCATGATTTCATCCTATATTTTGACACCCCATCCTCCCTATCCCCAAACCACAAATCTAATATTCATGCACTTAATGTCCCACCCTAGCACTCAGAGCAAAAAGAAACTTACAAAAAGCCACAGATTTTGTTTTGATTATTACCTGGTCTATATATTCATCTAGGACATTAAATAAATAAATAAATAAATGAATAAATAAATAGAATCCAACAACATCATCTAGAAAGCTTAAATGGAACCACTGCACACTTACCAGAAAAATCTAAGCTCAGTTTTACTTTGCTGTTAAACACTAGTATATGTAACTAGAAGAAATTTGTTGTAAGACACCGAGGTATTGCATTCAGGAATCAGAATTCTTTCTTCCTGTTCTACTCTAAGTTTAAGATATCATTGAACAAGCATCCCTGCCCCTAGGACTCAGTACAAGGAAGAAATCAGGGGAAAACAGATACTCAAGATTTGCAAGAAAAGTTATTTACTAGCAGGTGTAGCAACTCTTTTTTTCCTTTTTCCTTCTTCTTCCTCCTTCTCCACCCCTCCATTCCCCCACCTTGTCTTGATTTTCCACCTGCATGGAATATCACACAGATTTCTACTTGGTATTTTCAGATGGGAGATATTTCTAGAAACATATTACTGTATCAACACCAGTAAAAGAACACTAAGGGAAATGATGAAATACAAAAGCAGAATGCCTTCCTCTTCCTCTAGGAATAGCAATGATAAGACCAAGTAAGGTGAGCTACTTGGGCACCTTTGTCCACAATGGTAATTTCAGACATTGCACATATACTCACTAAGTTTGTGGTCTGGGTTACTCCTGATGGCTACACAGTGCTATAGCTACTACTTAATGAACATGTTACTTCCCCTCTTCACTACACTGTTTAAAGATACTGTGTGATTGAGGAGTCTCTCTAAAACATACTCAGATATACAAAATTGGTCTTCATGTGGTACACAACATGAATACCCCACTTTAATTAAAAGAATCACAGTTACCCAGTGAAGACTGGCCCCAAATTCAAAACTCAAAAAGCAGAATGTCATTGGATTCCCCTTCTGATTATTAAAAAAAACCAACAAAACCCCATACAGTTCTCTTAGATATTCTAAGAGAGTTAAACACATCTACATATGAAAAGTAAAAAACTTCCTAATCACTCTTCAAGCAGAATGAAAGAGATTTCATTATGAAACTAAAATTTAAAAGAGAATGGAAATATCCTGTCGCCCCATTCACTGTTCTGATTTCAGCTTTTTGTTGTTGTTGCAAGAAACACGACTGGTTCTAGAAACAAGTAGAAGGTGAAAAGAAACCCTTAACACTAAACATTTATATTTGACAAATATATTTCTAAATATACTTCTCTCTAAGATTAGGAACAATATGAAAATACCAGCACTGTACCTTGAAGGGCACATTAAATCTTTTGTTTGCATTTGAAATACAAAGGTTCTATTAATTCTGCAGAATTCTACTGTTAGAAAAATATCTACTTGACAAAGATTTTTAATTAGAGTATTCCTGTTCAAAACTTATCACTAACCTATTGGGTTTATCGAAGTGGACTGCAGCTTTAGTTGATGCAGCACAAGATGACAGTTTCTCTGTTTCTTTACAGGGCATAGAGTTTAGTGTATCATCTTTAGAAGTCCTTGAATCCACTTCAGCTGATAAAGAAAGGCTTGTTTCCTCACTGTTTCCATGTTTGTCATTCTCAGAGCTCTTGATATCCAAGTACCGTCCATTGTCCTCTGAGACCGTGAGAGGCACTTGTTTTAAAGAAGGATGTGGAGCTACACCATAAACTGTCGACACAGGGAAGTTTTCATTCTTGAGAAAATCTATTTCACTAAAAAAAGGAAAAGCAATGAATGAAACATTTTTGCAGCTTTCATGAGAAGGTTGCTGGAATCAGAAGACTGAAGTACAGAAATAAGGACAACATACTGAAGAGCTCCCACTTTGATATGTTCAAAATTCCTTTAATAGAAATAACTTACACCACAAAAGCAGTTCACATGACCACTGGTTTAATGGAGTTCTTTAGTCAGTAATTAGCGGTAGGAAAAATGTTGCACCCAAGAGTGAGTGAATCAATGAAATAAGTGAATAACAGTAGTGTTATCTGTTTCTGGCTGAAATCTGAGCACTGAGACACAAATAGTCAAGTGACAGAACTCTATTTGGGATGCAAAACTTGAAATACTACAGTGGTGAGTTAATACATACACTATCCCACCTGGTTTGAAATGGTAACTATGCAAGTCAGTAAAGCCACTTAAAAATTATGCACTTGCCCATATGTTATATTGATGCATCTCTTAAGAGGAATGATACCTTAGACCTTACAGAAACACGTTTTGACCAAACTTTTAAAGTCTGGTTTTTGTTGTTGTTAAAGATACTGTCATTTCTACTAGTCTTGCTCTGTGGAAAGAACAACGGTGTTGGAATAAGTTATTAAAAGAACTATCTTTCTAAAAGCGTTTGCAAGCTGTGCACACTACAGAACTAAGGAGTGAAATAAAACTGACTGGACAGAAAACCTACACCAAACACATCAGAACTGATTGTTTTTAAAAAACAGTAAATAAGGAAGTTGCACTGAAAGAACAAAATGGATTATAAAATTAAACAATGTAGGTAATAAAAGGGAAATAGTCTGAAGTCTCTTCCTTTTTCTAAATCAAATGCCCTGCATTAAAAAGGAGAGACTGCTCTGTTCTGAAGAACTCCAAATAACTTTATAAGCGTATGTTTTCACGTATGTGCTAAAAAAACATTGAGATGTTATTCCAATATTTATCAGCAGTTGAGCAGATTGATAAGTACATACCTCTCAAGTCTTTGGATTTGTTCCATCAAAGACCATTTCTCACTGTTTAACACACTAATTTGATCTTCTAATTTTTGCACTATTAAACATTGCTAAATAGAAGATAGAAACAGAAGAGTTTAGTACAACAAAGTTAAGTGGTACTGCAAACAGCTGAAACATTTCTTCTGTACAATCTCTTACTTCTATTGGCTGTGGTGTTGTTTCAAATACAGGGACGCTTCCAAGTATAGGAGTAGCAGCCTCTAATTCATCATCTTCTACACCAACTGATACATCCACTACATCTCTCGTTGAAACGTGATGGTTCCCAAAGTCACGATAGAGTTGTAACAGGTCAGGAGGTTTTGGAATGTTCAATCCTACATCATCCCAAAGTTCAAAATCCTTCAAAGAAATAAGAGAAACTAAAGCATACAATATACTTCCTTTTCCTCATTTGACTGCAGGTCATGCAATGGGAAAATAATCACATCAAGACTGCATTGCAGTAAAGGAGATGGAAGATTAAATCAGATAGCAAGAAACCAAAGTAGAATGTCATTTCATGACCAAAGCAGTTTCACCCTAAAGGCAGCTCTAGGTAAAGTACTAAAGAGAGTACTTCCCAAAACCACATAGATCACAATATTTTTTTTTTCTAGAACGTGAACACTTCCTAGAATCAGATATAACATTGATCAAATCCTAGCAGAAGCCAGCACAGTTGACAGAAGTCTTTCTATTGAGAGGGATATTGTTTTGTTCTCATCTCATTCACAAGTACAGGCACAATCTTCCAGAAATAGTCAAATAGCTCCGCCAGATGACTGATGGACGGGGTGCATATTGCCAGTGAAATCTGGACATAACTGTGTAGAGATGTAAACAACACTAGGCCCTCCTGTCTCAAATCATCACTATACATCTGCCTTTTTCTTGTTGACATGTTACCATCCTATTACTACAACATTAGTCCATGTCTGTATATACAAAAAAGCATATGCACATTTATACATGAGCTGTGATCATCTCTTTAAGGACCATAAAATTAAATTAAGTTTTTTCTTTCTTTCTTTTTTTCCCCCCCTACTATTCACAATTTTCACCATATTTTTCCATAGTCTGGTTTCATACATCACTTTGAATAAAGATTCTTTTCTGAAAGAATTATGTTCATAATCTGGGAAAAAAAATGTGCATTCTGTATGTTAATTTTAGTATGTTTAGATTTACTTTTTAGAATTAAGAACTTTCCCTTTCTTTTGCTAATTGTCTCACAACATAAAACATTTTCCATTGAGAACACAGAAAAAGCGGGGACAAATTATGTATCTTTTAGGGCTGTATCTTCACAAGTATTTGTATGAAACCCAGCACTGTTAAACTCAAATCTTAAGTGGATGATCCAAAATCTTATTTAAGAACCTATATTCTTTACAGATTAGGATATCAATTGCGGGAAAAATATACAAAGACTAGTTATAACTAGAATTGGTTGAAATTCAGTATTCAGTATTGAATTCAATATTTAATTCTTCTGGCAATATTCCAGTTTTGTGGCAAATATATATTAGGCATGGATGTTACTGGGTGTTTTGTTCACCCAGAAAGTCACAATGTAAACAGAACCTTCCAAACATTTGAAGAAATTCCCATGAAATGCAAGGCAGAGACATAAAACCGATCGTCTTAAGAAAAATGCATCAAAGCCCAGCTATGTTTGGAAATATCTAAGATGACACCTTATTATAAAGAGCTTCTCCAAGACTGTATTCAAGTAATTATTACAGATTAAGTACACTCATACACAAATATATATGCCCAGGAGATGACAAAGAGTGAGTATATCAGATATTCTGCACAAATCGACTAAGTGAGACTTCAGGAAAAGATTATGTTTAAAGTTTTACTACATCCAGATCCTTGAGTTTAACTGAAAGGCTGTCCATCAGCCTTTACTGTATAACTCTCAGTATTTTTCTTCTTGTTTTGCTTCATTTAATGAATGCAAGCATTCTGCCTCCTTCCTACAAATTTTGGGAAAATATTCCTCAAAGTGCTGTGTTTTCAAGCCATGGTTTATACATGAAAATGCTAATTAACACATTTAACTCTTAGAATACTCATATGTATAAAGTGAACTACGTGCACAGGAAATATCATTTAAGCTCGAGTTTATGACAAGATCAGAATATGGAAAACAGGCATAAACGCCCACCCAAAAAAAAAGCCCAAAACCCAGACAAAAAGACACAAGAAGACTTTACCTGATCATGATTTTCATCTGAAAACGTTATTGATGTAAGCTTGTAACTATTCTTCAATAAAAATTCATTAACTAGGAAGTTTAGAGCTCTTTTCTCAAGAGGTCTGATTGGCTCCTGGGAAAAAAAAAGAGAACAACACACTACATTTTTGGTTCATCTTCCTTCCAGCTATAGAAGCCCGTCTGTCTTAAAGTCCATGCAAAGCTCAGTTGTCACCAGACACCCACCTGAATTTCAGGACTTGATTTATAATTTTTTCGTTCCTGCAAAGGAACTTCATTTTCTGTGGAGGAAAAAAAGAGGTCACTAAATTTTACTCTTTCACACAGGGTGAGCTCAGCTACTTCTACATTGTTCAAAGTAGAGACTTAAGAAAAGGTTTATGTACACCACCTGCAGCCTGAGTCAGGTTGGCTCGGAGGGCCTGTATGGTCTCCTTGGCTTTCCGTAGTTCAAACTCCAGGACTGGACAGGGATTTGGATTAAACACACACAGGCATCCAACCAAGGCAAGGGAAACAAAAATAAAATATAAAAAGCAAGGATGGGTATGAAAAAAAATATACAGTTTGTATTAAACAGAAAGCATGCAATCTTTATGGAACTTATGAACACATGCAGCAGAGTTGGTTTGAAAGCAAACTGGTGAATATTTTCCATAATTTCATTGGCCTGAAGTCAGCTAAATAAAAATTTCAAGCTGTCTGACAAGGACTCGCTGTAGGGTTTTGGGGTTGCTGGGGTTTTTTTTGGCTCTCGTATTACTGGGAAACACTTATTATTTCTTCCCCACTCTTACAATCAGCTGATACTGCCGAACACTGATATTTTGGGTGAAGGGGAGTACGCAGGCAGAGGACAGATCTAAATTAAGCAAATACGTGCTGGCAGCAGAGGAAGCTGTCTCCATGCAGCAAAGCTTAAATCACGAAGCGAATGTACTGTCCCACTGACACTACAGATTTTTTAAAAAAATAGTATTATACCCTGAAATGTTAGTAGTTTAAATGGCAGAGCTTGAAACATACTTTCTTTTACTACTAAAAATAATCTTGTTTAAAATCTCTATTTAAGACTAGTGGATTTTAAGGAATACCCTAGAGTTCAATAAGATTTTTGATTTAGCTGAACACATTTAAGAGATGCACAAGACCAAAAAAAGAATAAAAATTTGCAGCTCACATATAGTACTTATGGAGAAGCCTGCAACAGAAATGTCTTTGCTCCAGTATTCTTAGAAGTTTCCAGTGACTCTAGACTATACAACACTTTCAGTAATCTAGACTCAGCTTTAGAGATTCAAAAATACGCAATTCCAGCTGCTGCTCTCACTTGCTCTGCCTCCCCACTCCCCTCGTCACTGTTACGTGTTTCTCATGTCCCAGTGTTTCCTCCAAAAAGGGCCAGTAATGCTTTATTTGTAGTGGAATTTCATGTGTTTTGATGTTGACATATATATACCGTGGCTGCAACTTTTAAAACACTGTACCTTTGCAAAACATATAATAAATATTCATTTTTAGGAACGACTTACAGTTAAAGCATCTAAGGGAACCTACTTAAGGGATTACCACATAATTACATATTTGAAATGGATTTTTTAAGCTTTACTTGATTGCCATGCACAACTAGGAACATTGTAGCTGCTTTTAATAAGAAAATATAAATGAGATTTTTAATCACTGCCTGGAAACAATTTAACATGGAATTTCGAAATATTTACACAGAGGACAATGCATGGCAGAAACGCTGCATTGGCTCTGTGTTTAAGAAATGCTACTGAAGGCTACAAATAGAGCAGTTTCCTCTTTTGAACATCTGCTACTAAGAATCTTTTAATAATTAGCACGCATGGAAAAAGAGATTCACTCAGTTTGCATGTATCCATAAAACTGAAGGAGTAACTACAGTACACCACATTTGCTACACGAAAGTAACTTGTTTGATGCACAGAATTTTACTGCAGCGATACAAAAGCGCAACTGAGGATACAATGAATAAAATACGTAAAATCTCTCTAGTATTCAGCAATGCTGATCTGCAAATATTTCTGTGCAACAAAGTTAGAAAATGCTCTTGTAGGAAATTATCTAATAATTTTAGCACTTCCTTGCATTTCAGTTACTGATTCACAGTTATGTTTCTAAGTAGTAAGCTACTAATTTGTTAGTTTTGGAAAATTGTAAGGAATTCAAATTAAGTAATTCTTCTGATGGAATTGACTATGTGCTAACATTTTATTCTCGTGAAATCTTTTCAAAGACCAGAACAGTTGCAGATCAGGAGTGCCCTGCACTAGAATGATATAAAAATAATAATTAAAAAAAGTTAGAAAAACAACACAAACTATAAAAACTCAGGAATCCCAATAAGGAAAATAGGAATGAGACATGTCTGAAGGCGTAGAAAGCCAAAAACCTCATGTCAGACAAACCCATGTCAGACGGCAAGAATTCATTTTTAGTGAACTGTGATGATGCTGAAAATTCTTAGAAGCCACTAGGATTTTATCCATTCAACCTTAGAAGTAGATTACTCTGCTGCATGTTTCTCTGCATACAGTGGAAGATTCCAGACACAGTATATTTGAGAAGTTATCTCTTTGCAGCATGTCACAACAGCCACATAATTCTACTACAACACAGCATTGTTACACTTGTATCTCATCTCCTAGTCTTACTAATGCCACCATTACCACTGTCACCATACAAACCTTGATGCATCACTCACAAATTTAGTTCTTATTTCAAGATTCATAGGGTTGTTTTTAATACAAGCATAAATATTTGTAAATAGCTACCACATAATTTCAATAAAATCTGAAATTATTATTAAGAGCTCTTTATTTTAGAAGCTATATTGAAATGCAATCTTCTGCCAAAACATGTAGTGATTTTTAATTCAACATATGTGCTAATGAAATCAATACTGGCAATACCCATTTATTGCTTTTTGTAATTTAAAGAGCATATAAGCAATCTCTAACTCCTTTCTCTGTGACTGTTATCAAATACTGACTTTTAAAATAAATAACCTGATCCCTCTCCTCCTCCTCCACTCCTGTTGTAAAGCTTCGATACCTTCGAGAAGTTAACCCCTCAAAAGCATTGATAAAGCCAGTTTAAGTTTAACTTGGTACTTGACTGAACTAATCACACGTATAACTCCTTGTGGTGCTTGCTGAAGGACACTCCTTACAAACACTGTGCTGAAGGGTTTTGCTGCAGACAGGCTAGGGGAGGCAAGGACCAAGCTGCTTCTCCTCTGCAGCAGGAAAGCAGAGAGCAGAAATGGAGAGCTTTGAGGCTGGTCAACCTTCCTACAAGAAAAGGGCATTTCTGAACAATCCATTTTGTTTATTTTGCCCTAGGGGAGAAAACTGTTCCTTCCAAATTTAAGTGGCTCTCTTGCTTTTTTTTTACAAACAAGAACTCAAATCACTACAGCCACTATTCTGAAAAAGAAAAAAATAAGGAATTTACTTAAAACAGTTGAATCTTTCAAGCAAGCAACTAAGCATTAGACCAAGGTTTTCAGATTAGCAATTTTTATGTTTCAGTTTTCATGCACCTAAACCAACACACCTTAAAAGAGAAGTGCAAACCAGGAGTGGGTAGCTTATCTGGTCAGCCTAGAAAATTAAAAATTAGGCTTTCTAAAGGATCTTATTCTATTTACCCACATTTGTGGTGATGTCGTACGTTACTGAACCATGGATTGAGAAGTTAGCTATAAAGAGCAACCTGTGATTTGGGATATTGAACAAGTTGAGATCCACATGAACAGCAATACTGTTGGGCCAAGGCCAAAAAGTTGAACAAATTAATGGTATTTTAAAAATTTTCAGTACTTAACTTTTGCATAAGCCGTATTTTAAAAATTCTATTAGAATTTTACATTCTACATATTAACTATCTTGTCAGACTTGTGCGTACTTCAGGCTGAAGTACTGCAGACATTAGAAAGGTGGTTTTATGTTGTGAAGCCACTATACGGCATGCTGGCATTTTCTTTTAAAATTAGTTCTCCACTGAACTATCGAGGGCCCCTACGCTTAGCCAGCTTTCCTCAATTTTGGACATCCTGTTACAAGTTTTGTTGCTGTTTGTTTCTTAACTGTCACTTCACGTTCTTCCTCCTTCTGAAGTAAATGTAGAGCTCTAGATGTCTTATATTATGCCTTCTAAAACGTGCATTACACCCCATTACATCTGATGGATTTGAGCATACATTTTAAGCAATCAGAAGATACTTAAATTCACTGGCTCTAGTGAGCAATTAAGCCACTATCACAATATACTTCAAGACTTGAGGTTTCCTAATTCTCACTTTCCTGATACAAGTCCTAAGAAGAAATAAGTGATGATATTTAGAGTCAGGGTGAAACATTTCAGGTTGTAACACACACACAGACCTGAACCAGATAGCACGAGAGAGAGCTATCAAGCTACAAAAATTATGATCAGCAGGAGAGTCTATAAGCAAGCTAACAGAGAACTTGTTACTATTCTAATAGTGGGAAGCCAACACTTGACTCATCAGCCTCATTAACACTTGAAAATTAATGAGACAGGACCAGCTACAGGAGAAGACCTGAACAACAGCAGACTCGTCTTCAGGCTCAATCCCTGGAGAATATCCATAGAAGGAAATGGAAGGAAATGAAGGAGGCTTAAAACTGCTTAACAGGACTATAAGACAGGAAATGGGAAAACAAAACCAGAACCACTTCCAGGCTGAACAAACTGAACACAGATTATAGAAGCCTTTCTGTTTTGATTTTGGTTGCTTTGTTTTTCTTGAAGATTCTCCTCTGATTTTGATTGTATGCAAGTAATAGTACTTATTAAAAAACAAACAAAAAGGCTCTATAAAAAGCAGAAACTGTGAACCTAACTAGATACATTAAATTCTCAAAAATAACTCAGTGCTTTTTAACTTGTTTCTTCCCATCAAATCTGACAGGGATGGTACCTTATTCTGCTAATGAGAGATACATCGTCTAGCCAGATACCAATGCTAATGCAGGGAGATGTGAGAACACAAATGACTGAAAAGGAGTTTGATTATGAAAATTAATTTTATTACCATTGAAAACACAGAGTTGTGTTCCTAAAATTATGAGATTCTCAGAACAGTAGATGTCAAAGGGAGGTCAGCTGTACTAAATATTTTGAATTATGGAAAGTAGGGTTTTTAGATCACAAACATGTGCACACAGTCGATTTAAGATGTGGCAGAAGATTCAATTCCTTAGACTGAATGTCAGATGACCCATTTACATCAAAAGCTGTGTGTATTTGACTTCAAGTCAGGTGTATTCTTATTCCACAGGAATGGAACAGGTTTTCCATTCTCTCTTTTATGAAAATGAATATTTGGAGGAGGTTTACTAAGCCTAATAAATCTTTCAGTACTGACTTTATCTCAGCACCGTTTCAGCACTTAACACAGAATCTAGATTCAAGACTTATTAGTCTTAACGAACAAGTTGTTTCCATCTAGCAAACTGCAAGATCTAAGGATGCATGTATTTTTTTAAACTCTCTGTGGATTACAAATTTATTATCCAATTTGTTATACAGCTCCCTAAATTTATGTTAAGATCAGGTAGATAAGGAAGAAAATGGATGTTTTCTAAATTGCTGTTAGTTTTGTCATACTCATCTACATCCTGACTGGCTTTTGTGACTTTCATCTTTTTGAGTCAAGCTGATAACAACAAAGAAAAGACTCAATTAGCTTAATTCGATTAAATTTTCCAAGGAACAAGTTGGCGCCAGCTCTTCCAAGCATGTTTGCTTCTAGCCCAAATTTTAATTCTAACATCAGATGGAATAAACTGGGTTAACCGATTTGTTTGAAAAGATTTTAGTATTTCAAGAGTCTTTCTAATTATTTCCAGGAATTTTTGGATTGGTAAAATAAAAACTATGGCAGCCAAGTCTAACACCATCTATGACAGCAAAAGGATACAATGGCTTTGGATGGTATACATGCACATGTTTTGATCTGGTGCTTTCTAGTATTGCCATAGTATAAAAGTATTTGTAACTGGATGTGTTATAAATTCAGTTTTACACTTCATCTGACTCAGGACCAGTTTCTTTTAATAACTGATGTGCATTTATTTCCTGTTATTCATCTGTCATTTGACTAAGGAATTGATAAGGAAATCATGGGTTCTGTTCAAACAGTAAAAACCAAAGATAACAGCATGAGAAAAGCATTTACAAAAAAACTATTCAAGCCTCACTCTGACAACTATCAAAAGAAAAATATGACTATCAGATCATGGCCTCAAGCTTTTGCAACAGATTACAATTTCATCTCCTAAGCATCAAAGCTTTTTTATAAGAAGAATGAATATGAGAAGAAATAAGCAGGATAAACTTCTGGTTATGTATCAAAATGTATTTGCAGCTAAGAATTACTTCAAAAAGCAGAAGTTACAAGCCAGAGTTTGTTCAAAGAAGGAATCAGATATAAAGTTCTTGAAACTTCTACCAACAATATTTTTATGTGCAAATTAAATACTTATCAGTTTTCTGAAGTTTATTGCTTAGGTAGATGGTTTTAAAAAGAACTGAGGCAAATGATTATAAGCAATTATAATGGAACAAGAATTTTAAGTAGAAATTGCATATTTTGGAAAACTTCAAGTCTTTGCAAACATCCAGAAAAAAATATCTGGTCTTGCTTTGTTTAAGTTCTTATGTAACTTTTTAACAAATCATGGAAAAATGTCTCCAAAGGAACACAGAAATGTAATGTATTTATACATGTGTCACATGCCATATAATTTGCTCATCTATTACATAAGACAGTGGTCAAATAATATACTGTAATCTTCAAAAATTTCTATTTTGGGATGTACTTAATTGAATTCAATATTTAATTTTAGGATATATTCATATCATACTAAAAGTAATCAATATTTTCTCATTAATGTTCTATCAGAAGATTCATGGTTCCACTGGATGCCAATTCTGACTGGTCTTTACTTTCTATGAGCATCTCTACTCCAATTCAGTTAAGGACAGATCCAAGCAAAGATCAAGCTAGCTCTCTCAATAATAGTACTGTCAGCAAGTACGGGCTAGAAACAAGGAAAATCTAGCAAGATGATGAAAAAAAATAAATATTTGGAATTTGTTTGTTTCTTCTTTCTATTCCAAGATAGAATTCAGAAATACTTGGGTTCCTCCAACACACTTTAAGATTAGCAGTGTATTTACATTTTTTCCCTCCTTGAAACTGACTGAATATCTTGAAAAAGACAGTAATTAGATACTAATGAGAATCTGGAAGTTTCCATACAAATCAAAGAACAGTAAGTACCTATAGTTCCAGACCAGAGCATCAAAATACCTGAATCTGCTTCATGTTCATGAATTTAATCCAGTCCTTTACCTCAGAAACACTGGCCAGGTAAGAAAAGTGAGATTTTCGCAACACTTTTGTTTCTTCTCTCTGGGTCAATACTGGTTGCCATTTCAGACTGACAGAGAAAATTTCAGAATCAAGATCCTTTACAGAACTATGTTTTACCAGCCTTTTCTTTGCTTAAGAACATGACAGTATTTCTGCTAGGATGAAGCATGGTGGTTCAGAGCAGAGACAACAGCATGGAGCAGAGACATAGCAGCTTGCATCATTTCAGGTTTCATCAAGCTAAACTCTGTGAACAAGGGTAACAGCACAGGCAACCTTCATGTGCTTACGATACTAAACAGTACTGACTGACAAGAAGAGATACCTGCAGCAGTTTATAGAGCTTTCATTGGTTTCTCTATAGAAGCTGTGAATAACTTACTATCTGAACTTAGAAAAAAGCTTAGACTAGAGAAATACAGCTCACATGCAAAAGAGGTTTTGATAATAATTTCAAATATAAAAAGAAAAGCAGCCTCTGCCTTTGATGACATATTCATAAAACCTGAAATTAAAAATGTCACAGGCTCCTAAGTACAGAACAACTACAAGAAGCAAAAACCACTGTCACTTCTTTGAAACAATCTTATACAATCAAGAAAACAAATGGGAGAAAAGAAAAGCACTACAATTAAGATCTGTAGCAAAGATTTACTGGACTGAGAAAATCCCAGATTTACTCAGGGTTTGGTAATGCTTGTTTGATCTATACTTAAGTTATATTTAAGAGATGGCTTCCTACAGAACTTTACATCAGAAAGCTATCACCCATGCAGTAGTCACAGACTACTACATAGACTATTTCACCATATGTTTCAGCTAAACAGTAGCAGTCAGTAGGCAATATCAAGATTCTATTCTATTGACAAAAACTGGACAATTTTCAAGTATGCTGCTTGCTTCTACCCTGGTGACACCTGGAATCATACAGAAATACACTTGCCTGAATATTTACAGTAATTACAGTACAAGTGTCTGAAACATGATTATATCATTAAGTGATGAGTTAAACCACCACAGTGAAGTCATCTTCAGGAATGTTCATTTAAACATACTGCTACTGGAAACAACAAGTCAAATGGTGACTTTAGCATTCTGTGATTCCTAATTCTTACAGAAAAAAAACAACTTACCTGCTACTCTTTCATCCGTTTCCCTATTGCCGTCATCAGAGTATCTTGCAAAATCCAAGGAATCAAGAGTACTGATGCTTCCAGCACGATCTTAAGAGAGGGGAAAAAAAAAATATATATATATATCTGAAAAAAATTCTGAAGACTGGCTTTGATAAAGTCAAAACATTTCAATTCAGAAACTATACATCAAAGGCTAGGTAAGTGTTCTGCAAGACTGAAATTTTACTGCATTTTCCAAAAGTCTGTCTCCAAGCAAAGAGGATTTCAGCAAATTTGAAAAAAAATACAACATTACAGCAAGTTCAGTGATCAGACACTGATCAATAAGAAATTCACCCTTGTTCCTCGCAAAAGGCAGCATTTCTGCCCTGTCCACAGTAGGTGAGGAGCAGTGCAGTCAGTGCAGCACTTCTCCTTTTCCATATGGGCCGGAGACCTTTGCTTGGGCCCGCAGGTGAGCACATGCAGGACACCAAACAGATACAAACTGCTCTGCAACGAGTCTCAAGCAGCTCTGCTCCCATTCTACAGAAACCTGTAACTGCCCCAAAGACACTACTTCCTTTTCACTTTTCTAGTATTTTAAGGCATGTTAACATGACCAAATACTCTTCTACATGTTCCCTGATCTAGCCATTAACTTCAGTGCATAGCCACTTAATACACCATTTACTAAGGAATGCACTACACCTAGCAAAATTAAAGCAAAGTAAGTACAGTTCATGCTATTGCAGGTATAATATTCACACTCTAAAATCAAACTGTTAATTAAAAAAAAATTCCAGAAATTCAGTAATTGGCATTTTTCATTTCTGGGTTAAAAAAACCAATCAAAATACAATTTTGATAATTTCAAGCCTGTTGAAACATACATTCACCTTTTTATTAGAAAAATACGCAAAGAAACACTCTGTGACAGAACTCAAAATAAATAGAACATGTCCCTAACAAACTTGAACATGCAGAAACTATATTAAGTAACATAGTATCTCTCCCCTCCTCTTGAATTAATTTCTATGTAGCACTTCAGAAATAATTTTAATTACATTAGAGCTGTTGTCACGTTAACAAAGAACAAATTCCATATGGCTGTCAAAAAACCCCACAATTGTCAGTGGAAATAGAAGCAATTTTATCACTTGTCAAATTGTGTCGTGACTAAAATCACAGAAAGTATTTGAATTGCCACCCCTTAATTCTGTGCTGTGTCCAATTTACTAATGCGTTTCATTTTTACACATCTGAGCCCAACTTGTCCCCAGAGATCTTGTGACACCCTCTCTACATACAGGCCAGCACCAGACTGAAATAAGAACACCTGGATTGAGACTGATTAAAGCATCTACACTCATCTGAAAAGCTATAGAGAATATCAAATTTGAAAACTCAGTTTACCAAAACTAAACTGCCTGGCAACCCTAACTTGCCTGTTTTATGGCCATAAAGTATATGGCAGAGAAGAAAGTTGTATGAACTGTATCCTATGACTGTGTTTTGTCATCCAGGCAATGAAATAAGACTGTTGCTGCTCAGTGAGTCTCTATTCAGTATTTAGTTTTAAAACTCACTGTTCATATGCAGGTTCTGGTCTTATCTACTGCATTTTTTCCAGGCACTGATCTGGTTTAATAATTCTCTCTAGACCATTTTATAGCGCTTAATGTCATAGCACAAACTCTTCTTTTTACAGCATCTTTGCAAAATGGTCCACAGCAAAAATAAACCAGATTTTCTATATGGGATTCAAATGTATCTAAGTTCAAAGTAAACACGGATTTTGCATGCACAGCATGGAAGTCTTCAGGGTTGAATTGTGAAAACACCCAATACCTTATTCAGTAAGTACTGACCCAATTTATTTCATTGGGAGCTGCAAGATAATTTTTTGAAATCAAATTCAAGACTCGAGTTAAAGCAACAGACCACATTCAAACAGAGATCTCCATGAAAAGCTGATGTTTAAGAAAAGTGACCCAGTCTCATCTACAGCATTGCTATGGCAAAAGCAGAAATACAACTCTCTTTCCTCTTGCAGTCTTGCCATGTTCACAGCTCAATTTTCTATTTCACTTATCAAGTAGGTAACATCAAAGAAACAATGCTCAAATTTTCACATAAAGTCAACCACATCATTACTGAAGCAATCAAAGCCTTAAGCAACAAAACCTTTTTCATATGAGTAGTGGCACACTTCAGAGGCACAGGCTCTCCCCCCACAACTGATGAATCCAGCCATAAAACACAAACTTATTTGCCAAAGCAGACAGAAACTTATCACAAAAAAATCAAGCCCACAGGTGTCTAGAAAAAAAGCATAGAGTAACCGAAGTCTATATCAGGATGCACACAACTAAAGCCATTTAAGATCATACCAGTCAGCTGCAAATTCAACAATTCACAATTGCCAACCACTGAATATCAGTTTTACAACCTTAATGGCCCTTACAGAAACTAAATAAACCCAAGGGTTTTCAGGATTTTAATACTCAGAAAATGCCTTAAGAACCACATCTGTATTCACAGCAGCAATTTGTAGTGTTGAAACTTGTACATTCACCACTCAGACCACTTCTTATCATACCAGTGTTCATGAGAAGAGCAAACACCTGGCACTCTCTTTACATACAGGTCAGCATTATAAAGAGACACAAATATCTGGATTCGTACTGATTAAACCAAACAAAGATGTGCTGAAGAGCACCAGCCTCATGACCTGTTTCCTGTTGCCATTTTTTCCCTCTCCCAGTACTGGTGATCCTCCTTCCTGTTACAGAAGTACCTGCCCCAGTTATCATCATCCTCCAAGCATGCTGTCATTACTAAACCAAGCCAGTTTGGGTGCTAGAAGTCATTACATCCACAGTGTTCAATCTGAAGATAAGGTTTAAAATGAAAACTGCCTTTAGGTATTGCATCGGTAGAACCTGAATCTACACAGGTAACTGTATACAAGTACCCAAATAAATGCTGAAGGAAATGAAACAGTAACAGACAACTGCATACACAAGCGGGCTGAACAGTATCTTCTCAATTCAGTGTCCCACTGAATGACAGGTATCACAGAACTCAAGGTGGGAAATTACAGCTTTCATAACACAACTCAAACTAAATAGTTAGCTTGAATAAAGCAATGAAACTTCTACTGCTACTTTCCTATAGGGTACTGCCTTTAAAATATGTGGCATGGCTATTGATGAAGTGGTTCCTCCTCTTAAGGCAAGAGGTCACCAGTGCTGAAGCACTTCAGCTGAGACATCTCTCCTGGCCAAACTGGTTCTGCAGGCACCAATGAATCAAGTCCCAGGTACAAGGAAAGCCCAGCTGCTGTTGAGCTGTCACAGCTCCCACTGAAGCAGCTGTTTGAGGCAACAGGAAAGGAAGCAACATAGGACCTGCTTCCTTGGCCGTCGCTGCTGGTGCAACTCCTTGTTTCTGCTGCTTACCTGGAAAGATGGGCTTCCAGCACAGCCTGGGTGAGGTCCAAATAGCAGCTCCATCGCAAAGCTTGCAGTGCTGCTTGGCCCTTGTCTGCAGTCTCTGCCCTAAAGCACAGCTGCTGTGGAGCCAAGGCTGAGGAGAGAGCAAACAGCAAAGAAAGACCTGTGGCTTCTATCAAATGCCACAGTAGCACTGGTGACCCACTGGGACTAGGTGAGGTGAAATTTGGAGCCATTATTGCACAGTATGCCAAAGCTTCTCAAGAAACAGAGCTGAGTGCCATAGGGGAATTTAACGGGTTTAAACAGCAAAGAAAGATTTCTGATGGAGACTACTAAGGATCAGCCATGGGATCAGCTTAGATAACAAGGTGAGAATAAAAGCTCCAATGAGATGGCTCACTGAAAACATCACGCAGGAAGGCGAGAGCTGGGAAGCCTGCCAGATGTGTCATCAACAGCTGAATCACGGCACACACACACTGTCTGGGAGGGCTGTGCTGAAGACTGCCCAAAGCTGAATAATGCCAGGACTGTCCCATCACTTCACCTACCTGAAACATCACCGTGTGGGTAACCAGATCTGTTACTCCTTCCACTGCCTTTACAGGCAGTCATCACTGGAAGTTTATCTCCTAACACTAGCACCATCCTCCAGGAAACTACGGAATGACATCTTATAACCTCAAATTTTATGCTTCTGTAAAGGATGCTCAGCAAAGGATCAGAGGGTGAACCCAGTGCCTCCCTGCTGGCAACACAACAGCTCCATCCACCAGAAAAGCAAGCCCAGGTGTTTGAAGGAGAGGAATCAGCCAGGAAAGGGCTCTGCTCAGTCACGAGGAATCTGAAACATCACCATTTTTCTGAAGTACGAATAGTGGTACTGCAGTACACTGAGTGGAACTATTTCAACTAAAGCATTCACAAAAGAGAACTACCTTCTGAACTGATGGGTGGAAAAGAAAGAAAAATTGAAAATTTTAGCAAAATATCTACTTCTTCACTTTATTTTTTTTTAATAAAACCCAAAATCTTAGGTTTAAGTTATTTGGCAAAGAATAATCAAAGCACAATCTTGAAGGGGGAAACCGCCGAAAAGGAGAAGTACACTTTGGCTGAATCCTGTTCCCTTTCTAAAAAAAAAAAAAAAAAAAAGATGTGACACCACAGTGGGAAGCCATTTCATTGCCATTATTGGCACATTCTCACCAACAGTCTTCTGTGTTTCTCTCTCTAGTGTTCTGAATTAAACCACTTTTCTTTTAATCAGCAATTCCTTTTTGCTAAAAGCTTTCCTAGTGAATAGTGAACAACTAATTGCTGTCAGTTTAATGTTTCAGAAATGGTAAAGCAGCACAAGAACAGTTTTGACAAGCAGGTATACTCCAGAAAGCATTTCACTGCAATGGGGAAAAAGAGTGCCCCAGGTGCACAGAAGACAAGCAAAATTAGCTGAGGCTTTCCATACCTCATACTGGTGAAATGCCAGGAGATAGACTGGATAGTAAAGGAGAAACGGCATACAGTTCTTGTCTCTTACCTCTGCCAGTGGAAAAAGAATAACAAAAACCATAAAGCTAAGGATCATACATAAGAACGCAAAACTAAGACATTTTTTAATCCATTTGCTGAGAAATGTAATGGCTTTAATTTCATTTCTGATATTAAAAATCAGGTACACCATCATGTTTTGCTCATTAACTTATACAATCTTTTAAAATATTGCTTCATTTCGGAGGAAAGGAGTTTTAATTCCTTTCTTATTCCCAGAGCTGTCACCTGTATGACATGCAGATTTCTGCTGACAGCCTCTGCTCCCTAGGCACATTCAGCTCTTTCACTGAAAGCTGAGAATAACTATATAAGGAAGAAAATGTAAAAAAAAATCTCAAAATAACGTGCTACATCCCCTTCCACTGATAGTGTCTTTCATATTATGTGTAAGATTCATTCACTCTAATAGTGAAAACGGTTTACTTTTACCGGCTTACCTAAAGGGATACCAAGAAGGATTGTATTAGCCATAGTTTCGCAGTACATGAACTAAACAGAAAAAAGTTGCAGTCTTCTACAAAAATGCATCATTAGAAAGTCTTTACATGAGTATAACATGGTAAATCAGCTAAAAACATAGACAAACCAAGTGATACTACTAATGGATAGAAAGGCTCAGCAAAACCAAAGCAATACAAATTTTTAGATGATGCAAACATCTAAATTGCTTTTTAAAATTACTAGGTGTTGGAGCTGCCAATAACTTGCCATTTTTTCTCAAAGATCACAGGAAATCATATCATCATGGACTAATGATGAACCAAACAGAGCATATGAAGATCAAGAACTCCACCTTTTTCCTTGAAATTCAAGAAGTAATAATGATACTACATTTTCACAAGACAAATCCACTTTGCATCTCTAGTTAAGTGTTCACTTGTACTGAAAAATATCTGTAACTCTGAAATAAGACCACTGTCGTATTTTAAACTGATGAGTAAAATAGCTGGTTAACCATCTTTTAAACCGATATTAGCTACTAGAAATTCAGCTTTGATTAGCATCCATATGGAACAAGATGCAGCACAACCTTAAATATTCAAGGCCTAGAGTGAAGTAGCCCTTATGGCCATGCAATAGGTGGCCGGTTCTCTTCTAGAGATACTGGTCTGGAAAAGCACATCCTTGAATAACTTGCATTTTCAGCTGTCCTGCACAATATCACAGCAGTATCACACAAAACAGCAGAAGCCAAGGAAACTGGGGACAGAGAATATCTGGGAGAAAGAATAAACCTCCTCTTGTATTTACTTGCACATTCTTAAGCCCTGTATTAGTACTGAACTGCACATGTGAATAGACCAGCTGGCAAGAGGGATAACATATGCAGATGTGGAATAATGTAAAAAACTGAAGAATGTCAATGGAGTCTTTTCTACATTAAATTAAAGCATTAGACATCATTAACAGTTTAAGAAGTGATCATCAATTCATACTTCATATTTGTGGCTGCATCATGTAGCAATTGAAATAGATACATTGTGCAATACGTTGTGCAATACCTATGAATTAACCTATTTAATTCCCCATAAGTGACACTGCAGATTTCTTTAGGCCTTACCAAATTTCACAAGACGACTGTGGAGCAATATTCCTTTGAGAAGTCTTAAATGGCTGCTGCATTTAAAACTTCTGCTATGTTTCAACTTGTTCCAAACTTAACCAATGCTGGATCAGTGAGCAAAGCAAACTTGATCCATGGCAGCAGATACCTGATCTAGCATAAAACCTGTATGGTAGAAACAGACTCATGTATCAGTTTTTTAAATCAATTTGAACTTGCAGAGTAAATTCTACCAGATAAACACATTCCATATCACTATCGTAACTCTGAGATGGAACTAAAGCCTTAAAGTATTTCATTGCACCAAGCACTAAATCCACCTTGTTTTGCAATTGCAAGTATCTTTTTTGTGCTCTCTCAGATGTTCCTGCTAAATTTTCAAAGTAGGTATGTTCTGAAAAGAAGTCATCAAAAGAAAAGGAAACTAAATTAAGTAAAGCTACTAGATTAAAATTAACTTTCAAGCTGTCAGGGTAACCCACTTACAAAGCACTTAGAACAGGCATTCATTCTAGTCCATGATGGGCAATCCAAACCAGACTGATAATGGATGTTCAATACATTTACATACCTCATATTGCTAACAAGCTAAGAAAATTCACAGAAAGTGTACGAGGGTACAAACCCTGAAGGTACTTGGAGAAGTTACCTGTGCTTGCTGGCCAAGAAGAGCAAAAAAACCTAACCAATCACCAGATATCTAAACCAAAAACTTTGCAGACTTGATGTAGTGAGAAGATGAACCCTCACTCCCATGACAGGCACACAGTGGAAGCTCGTGAGAAAGATGAAATGGCAAGCAGAAAATAGATAGATCTTGCATCTCAGCAGAGAAATAACACATACATACTGAATTGGGTTAAAATACAGATGCACCTGAGCTGATCTCATGGAGAGCCATACCAATAACATACTGATTTTGTGTGGAGGTCTTACTGCATTGACAATCTCAGGCAGCATCCAAATTAGTCAAGTCTGAATGAACTAGGCTGGCTCTGCACAAAGCCATTTGAATGTTGCTGCAGTCAACACTGAGGTCCAGGGGCATCTGACCCTGGGGACAGCATCAAACCCAGCCTGGCTCCCCGTATACCTGCTGTAGCACGCTTGAGCTACCAGACCTTCCCAAACGAACTAAGGGAGAAGCATAGCACAGTGATACTTCATTCAGCTCAAGATCCCAGCTGGCTTCAGCAGAAAGCATCAAGTTAACTTCATATGCCTGATGCTGCAGCACTGCATTTCCCAAAGTGTACCAATTAACCTGCATTACAAGGATTTTTTTCATTCTCTGCAGTAACCCAGCTTCCTGTTATATTCTGTGATATGATACCAAGTAAAATGGTATTAACCTAGTCCTTAAACGGCTGCATTTGCTGCAGGACTACCTGAAGTGTGTAGATAATACCCATCTTAATTCTCAAGCAGTTTTCTTCGTATTTGAATTTCAGTATGTTGCCCTTTCCCCGATTTCTACATTTATCTCAGACAGTACTAAATTTTCCAGTTAAGTTTTAACAATTTGTGTCACACGGATTCTATAAAGAATGAAACCAAAACCAAACCCTAGCAACTGGAAATCAAAGAATCTCCTGTGAAGAGAGGCTGAGAGAGGTGGGGCTGTTCAGCCTGGAGAAGGGCAGGCTCAGGGGGGAATCTCATGAATGTGTATAAATACATAAATACTTGAAGGGAGGGTGCAAAGAGGATGGAGCCAGGCTTTTCTCAGTGGTGCTCAGTGACAGGTCCAGGGTCAATGGGCACATTCGAAAACACAGGAGGTTCCCTCTGAACACTTTTTCAGTGTGAGGATAACTGAGCACTGGCACAGGTTGCCCAGGGAGGTTTTGAAGTCTCCATCCTTGGAGATATTAAAAGCTGTCTGGACATGGTCCTGGGCAACTGGCTGTAGGCAGCCCTGCCTGAGCATGGGGGCTGGACCAGATGACCTCCAGAGCTCCCTACAAACCTCAACCATTCTGTGGTACTACCATTATTTTTGCCATCATTTCTCTTACTCCAACAGTTTTGTCAAATGACAAAACAGCTGATAGCTCTCTCCCCTCCAACATCAAGCCAAGATGAAAAAGTACTTATTCTATAAATAAGAAACTCTTACTCTACGGTTTTACGTAGTAGTATTTCCTTCAATTCAACAGCAAAGGAATCAGTTGCATCACCATCATGCAGCGTTATATTGCAGGAAGAGAGGAAGTAAATTGCCTCTCCCCTGTGGTGCACCAGGGGAA